CGGACGAACCTGACGGACGAACCTGACGGACGAACCTGACGGACGAACCGGACGGACGAACCTGACGGACGGACGTGACGGACGAACCTGACGGACGAACCTGACGGACGAACCTGACGGACGAACCTGACGGACGAACCTGACGGACGAACCTGACGGACGAACCGGACGGACGAACCTGACGGACGGACGTGACGGACGAACCTGACGGACGAACCTGACGGACGGACCTGACGGATGGACCTGACGGACGGACCTGACGGACGGACCTGACGGACGGACCGACGGACGGACCTGACGAACGAACCTGACGGACGAACCTGACGGACGGACCTGACGGACGGAACTGACGAACGAACCTGACGGGCCTGACCGAGAGACCTCTGACAGACCTGATGGACGAACCTGACGAACGAACCTGACGAACGAACCTGACGAACGAACCTGACGAACGAACCTGACGGACGGACCTGACGGACGGACCTGACGGACGGACCTGAAGAACGAACCTGACGGACGAACCTGACGAAGTAAAACGCACGAAAAACGGGCGAAAATTGCACGAAAAACAGAAACTGTCGATAAACGGACGAAAAATGGGCGAAAAGCTGACGAAAAGCAAATAAAAAGCTGATAAAAAGCTGACGAAAATTAAACAGCGATTGAGGCTCTTAAAATGGGTTACTTCTAGTACATGAGGCTATTCTAGAAAATGATATTCTATTTTACGAATCATTCTTATAATAAATAAATGAAGTTGCGTCTCCGGGAATTATAAAGAAAAATACGGATTCTAGGCAATTCTAAACTTAATTTATTGAAAATGACCGAAAAATCTCTTACTTTTAACATACAAATCAAAATTCAAGAAGTTTTTTTTTGAAAATGGTATAACATCTTCTAATTGTGAGTGGTGAATAGAAAAAGAAGGCGTATAAATCACTCGAACTCAATTATTTGTTATGTGGCCGTATTCGGAAACCCTCAATTATCCGACGTCGATGTATGTTCGAGAATAGATTTCTGAGATTTTTTTTTTCGGAATGTTTTTTTCTTCATTTATTTCATGCACTTTCGCCTCCCTTCAAAACGAGAATTCTCAATTTCCAGATCGAATGAAACCAGATGTCCTCTAGTTTTTCTCCTTCACCATCATGCGTTTTCTCCGTAATTCTCCTGTTTTTATGGATTTTTGTGTCCGTTACTTTACACTTTTTTTAGAGAAAGAAATGAGAAGAAAGGGTTTTTGAGGGAAGAAAGGCGAGACTCTTTGCACCAACTTGTAACACCTGATGAGAGAACTTTTTCAGTATCTCTTCTTCTTCTTCTTCTCTCGCGCCGACGTTTTTTTTCAGTGTCGTCCGAGATGATGGATTCGAGTGACCGACTGACTCTTATCCCAATTCACTCAAACTTCAATTTCTGGGTTTCAATTTTTTTAATTGATGAACATTAGAAGGTTTTGAATTTTTCACATTTCCTCCTATTAATTAAAAAAAGTTTTTGTCTTATAGAGATTTTGTAGCCTAGTAAAAGAAATTCTGTTCGAAAATGAGAAACAAAAAATGACTCCCAATATCTGCTAAAATTTCGTAAATAGGTCCCTAAGATAAGAATTCGAGAGAAGGTTCTAATTTGAATTGCCGTAAAAACTCTATTAGAACGCCCCCAAAACTATCAACTTTGAACCATTATATCTCATTTTCTATACAAGGTATCAAAAGGTTGTCAAGTGACAAAATATTTATCACAATATCAAATATTTTGCCAGTTGACAAAAATTTGATAATTTTTATAAGAACTGAGATAAATTGGTTTAAAGTTAGAGTGTTTACGGTATATCGTATTGTATGGTTTACCAAAAAAATAAATTCTTCTCTAACCATCTGAATAAATAATTTTAGAATTGTCAAAATGAAACTTCAATCATTACTGACATGTGATTTGATTCCATTGGAAACCCATCTCTTCTCTTTTTTATATATTTTCCTATAAACCACATATCGAAAATTAGGTAAAGGGTAGCGGCGGTCATTGCTTTGTAACCGCTTCTGCCATTTATCTCTTTTTCCTAAATGCCGCTTCTTTTTCTTCGCTTTATTTGATTGATCTGTCCGATTACATACGTTCTGATCACATTCTTGTTCTAATATTCCAGCGAACGAAAGATTACGACTGGAGACAGCTGCTGACAACTGAATCATCGTCTTCTACTATTATTCGTGTTTTTTGGAGGTATGAATGATATGTACTTGTCATTTTGTGAACCTTGATCCTCATGAAATCTGGAAGCTCTAAGGTTTGTGGCGGGAAGTGGAAGAAAGTTGTGAAGAAGAAAAGAAAAATTTATAGTCGCTGATGGAAAAGAGGAAGAGAGAAAAGATAGAACATTGGAATTAAGAACTATGATTGTAAAAATATGTATACTCCGTTATCATTATCATTGCTAATAACATACACGAAATTCCGAATGGTCAGATGTATGTCGCGCGCCTTTCCACCTATTCAAAGTTAACCGATTGAGCTCAAACTTAGACAAGTCAATCATAATTTTTTAACAGTGGATGCCTGAACTTTTCTTTTTTTTTTTGAAAATTTGATTTTGAAGTCTTCTGGAGACGTTCCTTGTTTGGAATTTTTATCAGAGATTTTGGAAGATTATGTGCTTGTTTAAAAGTGGTCTATATACATAGATGTCTGAATTCCGGATTCCGTGCTTTTTTCATTCCAGAGTCCCAGAAAAAATCTTGTCCGTATTTCGAATTCCGAGAAAAATAGCTTATTTCGAATTTTCAACAAATACCGTTAAACCTGTAATAGAAGGGCTCCCACACTGTCAAGTATTTTATCAATTATCTCGGTTTCTGTCAAAGATATCAAAAATGTTTAACTAATAAAACATTTCTGAAATTATGATAAACAAATTATCAGTTTAAGCATTTTTGATAGCTTTGACAGAAACCGAGATAATTGAGCTCAAACTTGACAGTGTATGGGACCCTTCTATTACAGGTTGTAGGGGCCTTTCTATTACAGGTAAAGCACCATTTGTGTTTTTCAGTATTTTCTACAAATTCGAGATGCCTTGTTTCCGAACTCCGCATTTTTTTTCGTTCCTGATTCCGTATTGCGAATTCAGTTTTTCAAAAAAAATTGATTACGGACACCTCTGATTTTTGATAAGAAACAATGTTTCAGTTCTTCCGGACAATCGGTAAATAATACTACAGTATTCAAACATTCTTATTCAAAACTTTTGAACAACTTTCCCGATTCTTTGTGTGCTTGTAAACTTATGTCACCATCCACTTATCACTTGTCTCAAGAGACTTCCTCTTTACAGACTTTGCGGGAAAATCACCCTTTGATTACTAATAAGTAGTCCACCAATGTTTTTTTTCTTGATACAGGTCCCTTTTTCTCTTTTCTCTCGAATCACATCTCGCAATGTTTTTCTCATCTCTATCAGTCTTGCTCTCCCAAACATCCACTGCGTCTCTCAACGATTTGACACCCATTTTCTATTTCTTGCCCAACCTAAACACCTGACTCCTCATTGCTATCCGTGTTGCACAATAGTCCTGGAGTGGAGGAGGGATCCTTCTCTGCGACTCTCCTCAACTCATCACATCACTTAACCTATCGCTTGGGGGATTCACAGGAATCAAGAGGAAGAAGCAGCAGACGAACCATCAGAGACCAAGTGAGCATCGGAGATTCAGACGGCTCGACTGATTTCAGAAACACCTCACTGATATATTTAGTGTGTTCACATCCATCCCAACTGATAGCCACTGCCCCTCTCCGCCCGTCGTCGTACATTATACACTCTTTTTTGTAATGTGACACCCTGATGAGATTATCCTTTTTCTGTTTTTATAAGCATACCCTAGCAACAAAAACTGTTTTAGTTTCTTGAGCTAAAGTAGATAATTTCATGCAGATTTCGAATGGTATAAGGGCATTCAAACACTTTTTCAAAGGGAACAGCTGGTTTTTTTTCGTTTTCAGAGATTCAATCGAAATCTGAATGAAGATCTAGAAATTCGATTTCACTTTACGACGTTTGTTACGTATCTGGTTCTTTTTTTTTCACCTTCCTCAATTGAAACGAACTACCTTTCTTTAGAAGATGAATTCGGGTAACATTTTCTAAAAGACTTTTCCAAATTGCCAATCTAGAAAATATGTTTTAATTTAGTTAAGGTCGAATGGTTTTATTATTCTAATACAAAAAAAATCGAAGCTGTAGTAGAAAATCCGGTGGCCGTTGCCGAAGTCCCACGACGACAAATACCGTAACATAAATTATTTTTATTTCCCGGATTTATTTTCTTTATTTTCTTCAGAATTGGTTGGGTGACAAATAGCCGAAAAATTGACTGAAAACACACAAAAATCGAGATAAACTAAAACATATAGGTTACGGTAGTTGTGGGACCTTCGACCACGGCCACCGGCGTTTCTCTTCCACACCTCCGATTTTTTGTACCAGAATAATATCCGGTGGTCCTCCTCCTACACACATTTTTTTGTTCCTCTCCGAACCTATGGGGTTCTTGGTCTACTCTTCACAAAGTGATTTACTTCTATCAAAACAAACATCTGCTCTCTTTTGTCTTCACTGAGCCACTTGTTGCTCCATCTTCTCAGCCTGAGATGGGGTTTCCAGAAACTTTTTCAGTTGGCACGGGAGGTAATAGTGAGAGTTAGTACTCAAAAAAAAATTTGCACTTTTTGAGTTTCAGATGGGTTAAGAATGTGGAAGTAGAACCAAGTTAACAATCTGGAAATCGTCTTTTAAAATGTTCATAGTAATAATACAAATAATTATTTCAATGGACCCTCCTCCGCATTTTTCTTAAATTTCAAAACCTAACTTATAACACTTACTTTAAAAATTGAGTCCGTTACTTGAAACTGAACTGCCCAGATATTTTTACAAACAACTCAACTGGATGACTCATTTCCGTGTGATGGGTTTAAAGTTGCCAATCCGGAAAAAAGACTTTCAAAACATTTCTTGTCAGATTTTACAAATTTAGCTAAATGCCGTAAAACCTGTAATAGAAGGACCCCTAACCTTCGACGTTGAGCCAATTTATTTTGGTTCCTGTCAAAGATATAAAAAAATTTTCCACTGATAAATGATTTATCATAATATGAAAAAATTTTATCAGTTGGCACATTTTTGATATTTTACATAGAAACCCAGAAAAATTAGCACAAACTTGACAGTGTGGTGGCTCTTCTATTACAGTATTTACCAAATCAACTCTTCTTCATTTCTCTGAACTTAGGACCTTCTTCTCTCTATGCATTGTGTCCTTCTCGTTCATCTTTTTGTCGATCTCCAACCTTCCACCTCCTCCTCATTTTTAAATTTTGTAATCTTGATCTCATTTCGTCCGATATTTGCTCATACTTACTCCATTTGATCCCAGCTGCCGTTCTCCTCTGTCTCCTCAAAAAATAGCTATTGACAGTTCTAAATCTCTCTTTCCCTCTCTTTCTCTTTTATTTCATTTCTCGCACTTCCAGGTGTTTTAACTATCCTTTTCATTCTTCTTTTCATTCAGCACTTTTTGAGTTTTATGCTTTTTTTTCCGGGGCCAGAAACAATGAAAAAGCGAAAAGAGGAAAACAATAAAAGACGTCTTCTTAGTTTTCAGATTTTGATCAGCAGTCAGCAGGAAATAGAACAAATCGAAACTTGTAATATTTGTAGAATATGTCAATTTATCAGAAAAGGTTTGTGGATATAAGATACACAAAATAAACAAAAACATCTTTAATAATTCAGATGGTCATCCGTAGGAAGTGGAGCGTCGCCTTCTTCTTCAATTACTAGAAACACTCCAACAGCCACAAATGTTCTTAACAGTGGAGTTGAGCCCTCGACAGTTGGAACCAGGTTTGTGTCTAACCACTGACACGTTTTTCTTGAAAAAGTTGGCTAGTCCATAAGTGCCGTTAAACCTGCAATAGAAGGGCCCCACACAAGTTTGAGCTCAATTATCTCATCTGCTATGGAAGATATCAATAATGTGTCAACTAATAAAATGTTGGGGATAAAATGATAAACAACTTATCAGTTGACAACTTTTTCATATCTTTGACGGAAACCAAGAAAAATCAGCTCAAAGTTAATAATTAGGGGAGCCCTTCTATTTTTCAAAATAAGATACCTAATCCTTTGAATTTTTAAATAGAAAATCAAGAATACTAAAAAAATTTAAAAGTTTTTAACGTTTTAGTGTCGTGCCATACCGTAAAACCTGTTATAGAAAGGCGCTCACACTGGTAAGTTTGAGCTCAACTTTCTCGGTACATGTAAGAGATACCAAAAATCTGCTATCTGATAAAATGTTTGAATTAATATGATAAACAATTTATCAGTTGACAACTTTTTTATATCTTCAGTAAGAAACGAGATAAATTGGCTCAAATCTACAAGTTAGACGGCACTTCTATAACAAGTTTTACGGTTAGTACTTTTAGACCGTTTTCAGAGAGCTCCTAGTGCTATCAGAAGCAACGAAATAGCATTTAGCAGCATATTTTTAATCAAACATGTATAAGAAATTAGCATACGACGTCGAAAGTTTCAGATATATCGGCAGAAACTACTGTAAAACCTGTAATAGAAGGGCCTCCGCAATCACTTTTGAGCTCAATTACCTCGTCACAAGTCATATCAAAAATTAGTCTACTGATAAAATGTTTGCGATATTATGATAAACAATTCATCCGTTGACAACTTTTGCATATCTCTGACAGGAGCATAGATAAATTAGCTCAAAGTTGAAAGTGAGGATGACCTTCTATTGCAGGTTTTACGGTACATACTTTTGAGCCACCCTGTAAGCGACTATATAGTTTCCGTGTCTAAACATTCGCCCGCCTAGCCAGAAAAAATATATAAAAATCTATCCAATTTTTATCTCAGCTGGAACTCAGTAAGATGGAACAAACCATCGACATCCTACCGAGCCAGTCTGGCATCTCGTTTTGAGAACAATTCCTCCACAAGCAATTCAAGTTACACACCACAGAGGTCGTCGAGGTAAGTTCCCTATCTTTTTCCTCCGTTTCTTCTAGACTCCCACCCTCACTATTCATAATGTTTTGATAGTTGAAATGGCATCCATTTGAAATAAAAATCGGCTGTGAAACAGCACTCGGTGCCACCCAACCACTGCCTTCGTTTCTCCGATTCGGTGTAATATTTCAACTGAATCGGGCCAAGAACCACATGGTTTCAAAAAGTGGCGGTGTATCGGAGAGTGCGTGTATTCAGAAGAGGTGCAGATTCTAGAAAAAACCAAGAATGCCTGTTCTCTTGACAGCAGAAATCATCATTTTCTTGTCTCATCCAAAACTCTTCCAAAAAGAAGCACATTCTTTTTTTTCCCAAATAGTTTACCGAAAAAAGATCATCATACATTTTCTTGCAGATTCCTCAGCTCTGCTGCGAAGAATGCAGCCGATGTTGCCAGCATTGGACCATCGGTAAGTGCAAGAGCCTCACGATTCGATACGACTAATATGGAAAATAAGGAAAAGTATAGGAACGAAGTGAGTTTTAAAACAAAGGAAACGAGAAAAAAGTATGTGGTTACAGGCAAGAGAACTCATCACTAAGTGGTCGAGTCGGGAGAGGAACAGCAATAGTAAGTGGTTTTTTGAACAACTCAAAAATGTTGTGTTTTGGTTTTTCTGGGATAGGAAAAAAGTTAGAAATTAGTGAGTAAACAAAAATAATTCTGTAATTTCCAATTTCTCATTCATGTCAGAAGCCTACAAGTTGATGTTGTTTGGGACACTTAGCAGGTGTGAAGATGCAACTTACATCCGGAATGACTTTTTGTTGTTTGTGATCAGGAACTCGAAGCAAAATCTCTCGAGAACTCTCTCCCAGAAACTTCTCAATCATCTTTTTTCTCCCATCCAATCTCTCCTTTTCAGTTGCCAACACATATCGATCTCCCGCTCCGAGAAGCACATTTAGATCAACTGATTCTTTATCAGCATCCGGACCAACACCAGCATCTACTTATTCTAATACAGGTGTTTTTTCTTAATCTGAATTTGTACATTTCATTGTTACAGCTTATCGAACATCAACTTCACTGACACCAACCCGTCCAGTAGCTGCTCCACCAACCACAGCTTCCAGATACTCATCTGAAAGAGCCAGTTTATTATCTCCATCTCCTACACCTATTTTACAGTAATCCTTATTGTTCTCCTCAATTCAAAACTCTTTTTCACCTCTTTTCAGTACGACGCCGAAAGCGGAACGTCCGTGGCGGCAACGAATGGCCGAGTCGTCACGAATCCGTTCGACTCTCGGCGACGACGTGAGTGAGGCGTACACAGCTCGGCGAGCTCGGCATGCTTCATCACGACGAAGCTCGTTGTCACAAGACGAACTGTCTTCTTACGAGCCAACTCGTGTGCCTAGTTATAGCTCATTAGTGCAACAACCCTATTCGGTTAGTGTGCCGTTTCTAGAATCTTCCATCCAGAATAACATGTCTTCAATTGAATCTAGCCGTTATGTGTGTCATACTGTAGATTGTAATTTGAGTGTTTAACATTATAGTTTCTAGTTTTATCACTTATATTTTCAGTTGTTCTTACTTTCCCCCAACCCCCTCCCTCTATCATGACTAACTCGCGGATGCAGAGTTCTTAAGACCCAAATGAAATGCTTCAATTTCAGTATCGATCACGACAAAGCTCAGTGGAAAGTTCAGTGTTTTCTCCATCAACAAGATTCACGAACGCTTCATCCTATGTACCGTACTCTTACCGGAACAGAAGCGATGATCCGCCAACGATTCGATCGAGTATTTTAGATCGAAGCACGTCTAGGTGAAGTCAGAATCGAAACAACATCACAACGAATAAAATATTTCAGATCGAAATCTCCAAAACGGGATAGTTTACCATCACGGACACCATCGATTGCTCCAAAGAATCCGTCTATTCGAGAGTCATCAAAAGAAAGAGATTCAGAGAAGCAGAAAAAGAAGAGTGTAAAAGAAAGAAGTACATAAACTAAAAAGATAAAGTTTGAAACGATTCTATTTCAGCTGCACGTCGAAACTCTCGACAAAACAGTCAGCAAGACAGCTCGTCAGATGAAGAAATCAACAAATTAATGAGAAGTAGATCGGGCTCACAAGTCAGAAGAAAACCGAAGAAGAAGAGCCAGATGGAGACGGAGAAATTGATTGTTGTAGATCAAAAAGATACTTTGATGGTAACCAAATGATCAATAAGGAGTGCGAATATCAGCTATTATAGAACCGATCAATGCAATCCTCGTTATACGAGACAGGAGCCGAAGATTCAGCACTAATTCAATCCCTTACTTCTCAAATAAATGAATCTTTGACGGCTTTGGCAGTCGCAGCCGAGAGCGAAGGGTTCCAATCTTGTGCGGCTTCTCCGCTGGCACCTTCGATTTCCAGAAGTAGTTCCAAGAACGGAGTGGTTAAGAATCAAATCATCAGTTTGTTATTTTCCATAGTTGCAGTACTGCATATTCACTTTTTTCAGGATCACCATCACTCATTGAAGTGCTCGGATTGCCACGTAGTGATTCAAAGACAAGTCTGAAGGTAAGTTTGAATTGTGCTTTTCTACTCACATAGCTAGATCCTCTTTTTTCTGTTCAGTACCGGATAGAATTGGACGAAGAAACGCACGATGGTCAACTAACAAACGATGATTTTGAGGTAGATTTCTTCTTCTTTTTTTTCTAAATTTTCACTTATCCTTGTGTTCCTTTCCTTTTGTTCCATACTGCACTTACTTCATATTTTTAAACATGTTTTCCCAGGTGTCCGAATCCTCACGAATTGATGATGAGTCTCAGTACAGTGCCGTTGCTCATTTTAAACCTAATAAGGTATGTGCCCGTCCTGATAATGTTACCTATGAACAACAATAAAGATGCATTTAAAAATTTCTTTAGGTGAAACGATTGGCGCCTGTGCCAGGATTGTGGAAGTCGGGAGCTGAGAACGAAGAGTTCATTTCGCGAAATAAACGATTCGCAAAGTCGGTATCACCTAGTGTAGAAAGTTGCATGCGTTTGTGAGTACCCCATTGAAATCGTAGAAATAGTATTAATTTAAACAAAAACTTCTAATTTTTCTATCGAAAAACCTGTAATAGAAGGGCCCCCTAACTTTTTACTTTGAGCCAACTGTTCTCGATTCCTATCAAAGATATAAAAAAGTTGTCAACTGATAAATTGTTTATTATTTTATCATAAACATTTTATCAGTCGACACATTTTTGATATTTTTCATTGAATCCGAGATACCGTATTTCTCCTAATAGAAGCCCACCCCGCGAGGTGCTTCGAAAAATAGAAGCCCACCCTCTAATGAAAACCCATGGACTTCTATTAGAGAAAATACGGTAATTCGAAATGCCAGAATTTTTGGAACTGTGAGTTTAAAATTCGGCAATTTCTCAATTTTTGAATTTTCTAATTTCTAAATTTTGGAATTTCAGATTTTCAGAATTTTAGAGTTTTTTCCGGAATTTCAGATTTTTAGAATTTTAGAATTTTTTCCGGAATTTCAGAATTCCTGAATTTTGAATTTTGAGATCCTGGAATCTCAGATTTTCATAAATTCGAAATTTTGGAATTTGAATTGCAGAATGAAAATTTCGAATTTTCCAAAAAACTGAATTTCAGAATGCCTAACTTTCGAATTGTTAAATTTCAGAATTTTTGAATTTAAATTTTTTTTTCAAAATAAGTCATTGAAAAGTAGAAGCACATCCTCTAGTTGAATCCCACCTCTAATAGAAGCCCACTTTGAGAAAAAAGGTGAAAAATAGAATCCCATGGGTTTCTATTAGAAAAATACGGTAATTGAGCTCAAACTTGACAGTGTAGGAACCCTTCTAATACAGGTGCTACGGTATGTTTCCCGAGATTACACATCTTACTATGATTATTTAATTTTAGAACAGAAGCACTTACTATTTTTAACTATGAACCCTGATTGAACAAAACACTCCTAATTTAGTTTCGAATGACTTTTTTATTTTTTGTTATCATCCACTTCTTGTAATACTCTGCAACTCCTTTTCCTCTTTTACCATGTTCAAACATGACTGATCGGTCAAGAAAAACAGCCATTTTCAGAGAAAATCCACGAGGTGAAGCGGAGAAAATATTTGCATTGAAACGACTGGAGAAACTGTCAAAAACAATCAAGGCACCGGAAAAGAAGAAGCCAGTTGTACTGAAAACAAAAGTTGAGCCAAAGCCTGAACCAGTGAAACCAGTTGAGAAGAAAGCGGCAATCGCTCCGAAAGTGGAAAAGGAGAAACCAAAAGAAGTGCAGAAGCCAGCATCACCAGCAACAACTAAAAAAGCAGCTGTTCAGATTCCTGAAAAACAGAAAGAGGTTGCGAAACCTATTGCTCCACCTACTCTAGCTAAACCTAAAGCAGATGCTGCAGTTGTGGCAAAACCAAAAACTACTCCACAGACTCCTGAAACTCCTCCAAGTCCCAAAACTCAAACCGTTCCGAAAGCGGGTGAAAAACCAAAAGAAACGATTCCAGAGAAGCCAAAACCGTCTGCAAGCCCTCTGAGTGCGAAAAATACAGTTCAAAAAGTGGATGAAAAGACAAAAGAGCCCGTTAAATCTCCAACAACGGTTAAACCAAAAGCTTCTCCAGTTGTTGCTACCGAGGAAACTCCAAAAGCAACAGCAGTAAAGCCAACGCGGGAGAAAGTTTCAAAACCAATAGAAAACAAGGAACCAGAGAAAGTGAAGATCCAAACTGTTACGGAACCGCAAAAATCGGAAGCAGAGAAACCAGTTGCTCCTGTTACGGTACCAGTTGTAGAGAAACCGAAAGAAGCACCGAAAGAAATTGTTGCACCAGTACCAGGGATTGAAAAGAAAAAAGCTGTGAGTAATTTCAGGGATATCAGAATCTCATAATCTGAAAATTTCCCATTTTCGAAAACTTCGAAATTTCAAATCAACATAGGAGATTTTAATTTTGAAAATCGGAAAAAATTCAGAACCCAGTGATCTCGAAATTTTAAAATTCGAAGTTTTGAAAAAAAAATCTAAGAATTAAAAATCTCAGAATTTCGAAGTTCCGAATCCTCAATTTTATGAATTTTCGAACATTCCAAATTCGGAGATTGAAACATGTTTTAGAATTTTCAAATTTCAGAAATTCGGAATTGATTTTTCTCGAATCTCAGAATCTCAGAATCTCAGAATCTCAGAATTTCAGAATCTTAGAATCTCAGAATTTCAGAATCTCAAAATCTCAGAATCTCAGAATCCAAAATTTCAGAATTTCAATATCTCAGAAGTTTCGAATCCTCAAATTTATGAATTTTGGAACTTTATAAAATAAGAGAACATTTTTTTAAATTTTCAAATTTCAGAAATTCGGAATTCTCGAATTTTCAAATTTCAAAATCTTAGAATCTAAGAATTTGAAATTAAAATGAATCTCAGCATCTCAGAAGTTCAGAAGTTCAGAACATTTGAAAAAAAAATTTAAAAGTCCTTTCAGTTGCTCAAAAAGAAGAAGATAATTCCATTGGAGGACGAGAAGAAAAAAGTAGAAGAAGTGGAGCAAAAACCAAAAGTTTTGAGTGAACAAAAGATTGAAATATCAAAAGTATTCTCGAAGAAATCATGGGGATCGCAGAAAACGGAAAAGGTTCTGAAGAGCAGAAACAATGGAAAGGGAATTTCAATGCGATGCAAATCTGCTGGAAACGAAATCCTGGATTGGACAGAAATGTATCGAAGAAAACCACAAGAGGAACGAGCAACGGTAGGATTTTTTTTCAAAGGTAGAATCAGCAATCATTCTGTTTGCAGGTGTTGGTTGATACACCTATTCTGGATGTCAATTACAGTACTGTCAAAATTTCACTTCGAGAGAAACGAAAACGAGTGTAAGTCTCAACCAGTTTTTTTTTCGCACTTGCCGAGTTCATAACTATTTTTTTCAACTGATTGTAAAGTCATTCTCTTCGTTTTTATAGCTCAAAAGTATGCGTGTGTTCTCTCCTTCCTCGCACACCTCTCCCATCATATTTCCCTCTCTGAAACTATTTTTCCATGACCTAACCACCCTGAACCAGTCAAAAATGTCTTCTTTCTTAACGTTTTCCTATTCTTTTCAGTGAGAAACCTGTTGACGTCGCCGTCTCCGCACCGCTTCCTCCTTCTCTTCCGGCAGTCATTCCATTCGAATCTGAAAATATGTCTCGTTCTGTATCAGTTGCTTCTCGTGCTTCTGATACAAGAGCTTCAATTATTCTTGACGAAATGAGAGGAACCGAAGCAGCAGTTGAATGGACCCGTGATCTGGATGATGATGATGATGATTTGGTTGATTACAATGGAATTCTTGTTCTTCCTGACAAGTCGATTCTGGAACAGTACATCTCACGAAAACGAGGGAAAATCGATCGTTATCGAGGCCTCAGGCCATCTTCAATGTGCTCTTACGCATCGAGTAGTTGTGCTTCTCCATGCCCGTCTACAGTATCCGAACTTTGTCTTCCATCTTCAGGTATAGTGGCTTTTCTCATTTCAGGAAATTATTTTCAAATGCAAATCTAGATGACAAATGCTCTAATTTTTTTTCAGTGCTGGTACATGAGCCTAGACGACGTGCCCAATATAGTGCTGAGCCAATGGACCATTGTGTGACTCCAGTTTCATTGAATTCAACTCCACGTGGATTCACTACAAAGAAAGAGCCTCCACCGGTCATTAAACCAGTTCCATTCGAAGCTCCAAAGACATTATTCGAGAAGATGATTCAAGATCAAGCAAATCGAAATCGAACGACGGCGGCAAACTCGGAGGTGAGTCGATAAAAGTACAGAGTTGGAATGAGAAGAAGAGAGAGAGAGAAAAAGATGTAATGAATTGAAAGAATAAAAGAGAGGGAACATGTGAAATATACTGTGAAGTGAGAAGCCTGCTATTCTGCTGATGAAGATGATGATATCGGTTTGGGGGCTCGGTGAGAGTGGCGCGTATCAGTGCGGAGGGCTTCCAGGACATTGAGTGTAATGTATCAATCACCGCACTTCGTAGAGGGGCTCTTTTTCTTCTTCTTCTAAGAGCCAAGAGCCAGGCAACAAGCCGGCTCATACACTAACGAATAGCCGCGACAAGTACGTGTGCTCTCACGAGCATCAAACGTTTTAATCGTTTCCCAATTTGTCTGAAATTCCCTTTTATCTGAAATTACTGTATTCATGAATGGCTAAAGATTATAATATCATTCTGCGAGTAAGTGTATTCTTCTGCAGAAAAAGTAGTATGTGGGAGTCGGATGGGGGCAACATCCGTTCTTTGATTCCCGGAAAGAGTGAGAGGAAGCGGAAAACACTTATGACAAAGTGTTGAAAATCATAACTAGCCAACCAATTTACGACTCTTTCATGAAATGACCAGATGTGATTTGGAATTTGAAAAGTATAGCAAAAGATGATGCATGCATGTAAAATATTCAAAACGTCCCCGCGAAGTTATATTGACTTGCGATCAGCCAGCTGATCCTCCTTTGCGTGTAAACAAGAAAAGTGAGTGAGTAGTGTACGTTTCAAGAGTCTTGCGCTTCGGTTTCTTTCTCTTTTTTCGACAGTGAGATGCAGGATACATGCATCTTTTATGAACTACTAAATTTCCACGTTTTCTTTCTCTTACCGTAAAACCTGTAATAGAAGAGCCCAAGTTTGAACCCAATTATCTTAAATCCTATGCAAGATATCAAAAATGTGTCAACTGACAAAACACTTCTGATGTTATTATTAACAGTTTATCAGTTGACAATTTCTATTATCTTTGAGAGGAACCCAGAAAAATCTTTACTATTAACAATCACCAAATTCTGTATGTGTGTGTTTCCGTTTGTTCCGTGTCACCAGCCCTAGCGAAGGCACCAGTAGACCAAAATTTCTCAAATTTTCACAGATAATCCAAAATAGCAGCGAGATGATGCCACAATTTTCTTTTTTCGGAAATTTTCGTTTTGAAGCCTTTTGGAGACGTTCCTTGGTTTCGCGCCGAAGGCGCACCAGCCAGCTGTTTGAAGAGCCGGAGGCGCGGCGAACAGGCTGGTAGATTAAAAGTCAAAAGTTGGGGGCCCCTTCTATTACAGGTTTTCGATCTAATCATTTTTTCATTGATCCATTTATCAAAAGTTCCATGAGGGTTTTGAGATTTCCATAATTTATGATTTTCAAATCATAACCATTCTTTGTGTAAAAATAGGTCAACGTTAGCTACTTCTTCTTTTCCAACCTGATTTTCGTGTGACTCTCGTTCGAAAGTTTGCTGTCAAAGTGCAAGATGGCACCAACTGTTTGCAAAATAATGGAACTCAATTCATTGAAACTAGGTTCACAATAGAAATGTCTAGATTCCAGGTTCCGTATTCCGTATTCCGGAATTTGAGCAAAAGTCATATCTCTGGTTCACAAGAAATTTAAAATTCTTCAAAATGATAATTTTGGGACTAAAAACTATAGTGGTTGACATTAAACAACCATTCATCCGTTCATTCAATTTCAATGCAAATGTCCTTCTTCTTCTTTTTTTTTGAGATTCAATAAGGCGGCTTCCTTTTCTCTCTCACTAGATTAATGATGCATGTGATTAGAACGACGCCGATGCGAGCACTTTTCAACACATTATCATTGTCCTTTCGTCTTTCTTTTCCATGTGATTATTGTTTTTCTAAAGTATTTTCTGCTTCTTTATCGTCTTGAGAAGGCGGCAAACAAACAGTAGGACAGACGAGAGAGTGAGAAACGCAGAGCAACTTATCGAGCAGACAGAATAGAAGACAAAACTTGCCCTTCGTTTAATTATGATTCCAATTTTGCAGACACGCGATCCGTCCCTCGTCGCGGATCTCAGGAAGAAGGTAAATTCATCTGAAAGGAAATCAGAACTAAATTAAATATTTTTGCAGGCATGTCAGCCATTTCCCAGCAGTTCGCAGCAGCTGCAGCAGCTGGAAATGGACATGGATCAGTACGGTATGCAGCTCATATTCCTGTCAGAAGTGGGGAAATCAGTGGTAGAATGAGCTCAGGAAGTGTGGACAGCCAACAAAGGTTCGTTTTTTGTTTCATTTTGAAAAGATGCCATTTTTATAAACTCAATTTATTTCTCAATTCCCCCTTTAAACACTAACAATTGATTTCAGTGGCGGCACTCTTGACGTTGCGTCCAAGAATATCGATCATGTGATAGATCAGGCTCGACATCGTCACCATCAACACAGAAGCAAGTTCAAAGAAGCCATTGACTATCTGGACCAGATCTTCGAGGATTTGAAAAAAGAGTGTGATGTGAGTGGAGGGAATAGGTCTAGAGACAGTTGTGCCGAGTTTATGAACTCGTGAAAAGCAGAAGGTAGATGATGTGTCATGGGGAGTAGACACAAAAGTTCAGTTTTTTGGACTGAACGAGACCTTAAAGTTAAGGTTACACTTAGGACAACCTAAAAAATTTTTTTTCTAACCGAAAGAAATAAAAAACGGTGTTTGGTTTCAACTGTTCAATAACTATATAAGCCTATAGACCTAGTTATTTTTATAACGCCGTGTAGTTTGGAAAACGTTTCCCTAAGAAACCATCACTAAAAGATGATTCATTAAAAGTTCCAGATAGATTCAAAGTGGTCATTGAATTCCGTTCTATTTTCAGACTGACGACAAAAATAATAACGATGAAAACAACAAACCATCAACCGAAAGTCAGCCGGTGTCTCCACCTATTCAGAAGCCATCCGCATCGTTCGTTGCTGTCAAGAAAAAGCCAACAACTACAGTTGCAACGTCATCTCCCTCCACTACTGCAACAGCAAAGAACGCATCTGCGTCCGATTCGAAGTAAGTCGTTCCTTCCGGGCGGGGCTACTTTCTGAAGAAATATCCTGCGAATCTCAAGCAGCAGACTTTTTGCTGTCTGTGTCTCTCTGATTCGTGTACTATTTTGTCTCGTGATACATTACACACGACATAAGACCCGAGCAGGACACTGGTCGGCCGCGGCGGGCCGAATTGTGGATGCTCTCCGTCGTTTCCATCACTTTTTCAACTTTTTACTATTATTAACAACACTTGAGGAGGATTCGAAAAGAGAACAATATAAACATATATACATTTCCAGACGGAGTAGTACGACAAAGAATACAGCAACCGTCATCAAACCAGCAGTATCGAGGCAGAAATCATCTGAAACTACTGGAAGTACTTCTTCCTTTTTTACTGTCAAAGCTGCTACAAATAAACAGATTCCACAGGTAGGAACGGAATTTTGAAGTTTAAAGTTTAAAAATTTTGAACCCGTAGACTAGATGTGTGATCTCAATTTGTGGGTAAATGTTAGGAAGACAAAAAACTATGTGAATCCTAAAAAAACGCATGAAATTGACTTAACCAATACATTTATTGTCGTTTTTCTTTTACAATTAAAACAAAATATTTTTCGTTTTTAACCTAATTGTAAAATATCTTAACAGAAAAGTTTCTAAAATACCGTAAACACTCTAATAGAAGGCCACCCTATAGTTGCACTTTGAGACAATTTATTTCAATTTCTGTAGCAGATATCAAAAAGTGGTTAACTGGCAAAATGTTTATTATAATATCAAAAAGATTTTTTCAGTTGACCACTTTTTATTATTTGTTACAGTAACCGAGATATATGGGTTCAATGTGCAAGTATAGGATGGCCTTCTAAGAGTAGTTACGGTATTACAAGCCAAAAAATAATACTTCATTTTCTAAAATATTTTTCCATGACTTTCCCAAACATCATATTCGGTTCAAGATCTAGATCAAAACACATCCGTCCATTCTTTCAATTTTTCAAAAAAGTTGAATTCTTTCTTAGAAGCGCGTTCCACTGTTCTCTCAACGCATAAAGTTTATCGTTGTACTTACATCATAAAGTAGAAAGAGAGAGAGAGAGAGAGATACAAAACGAAAGAAAAAGAGGGCATAAAAATGCGATAAGTGCTCCGTATCTAATGCTTCAAACTTTTAGGCTCCATCCCCAGTTGAAGTTGTGATTCCAGTGAGGAAAATCTCACAAGAAGTCTCCAACAATCAGCCGGAGGTATTTTTTCAATCATCCTGTTTTCTATTTATTTTTCTCTGTTTTCAGCCCACGGTCGCTGAAACGATTGTGCTCGCCAAGAAAACAGACAAAATGGATTTCACCAGAAGATGGTTACACGATGATTTACAATCCTTAGCTCATCTTCCACCAGCCAACATTGCTCCAAACGCGGTCAGTATTATTTCTTAGGTTTCTCATTTCCATACTCAATATTTTCAGTCCTACTATCAAGACTTTGATGAGCATTCCTTGGGGAGTTGTAGTGCAGAAGTGGCTGCTTTCAACACAGTCAAAGAGAAGAAGAACGGAAAGAGCTCTCGAAAAGTTTCCGATTCTTCCGATATGATCCGTCCTAGACCATTCCGTCCTCAGCCAGTATACCCAATGATGGATGGGTTCAATGGTCCATCAGCATTTGAACCATTTGCATCTCATACATTGCCACGTGTCGCATCAAATGACCAAATCCCGAATGAAATGAAAAGATCAGGATCTCAAGATCCATACAACACACTTCGTTCTATGCGCTCCGAAGGCGATGGGTTCGATTCAGCTCGTCCATCGCCATCTGCATTCCAACAAGTGTCTCCATTCAATCGTGGAGGTTCAATGAGATCCTCGCTTCGATCACTTCCTGATCATTCCCCAGTAAGACAAAGGATACCGCAAAAACCAAATTACGAGCCTGCCAAAGATCCAGTTTTATCAATTGATCAACTAGTGGCTGAGTTGGAGTTGAATACTGAGAATGTGAGTTCTTTTTGGAAAACAAAATAAGTTCTATATAAATATAATTTCAGACCTTATCCTCATCTGATAAACGCCGTTCGTTCCCTACATCATTTGGAAGACCACTCGCACATCAAGCACAACAACATCATGCTTCAAACGATTATGAGAAACCGAATCGATATCGAGCAGAAATGAGACAAGCAGCCACAAGAGGAAGAGCTCAGAATTTCGCCGCCTCGGAATCTGTTCCGAAAGCAACCGTTGCTGTATCAAACGCTCCAGTATATTCTCAACCAGTCAGACAGCAGCAGCAGGCACCACAAAAATCACTAGATGAAGTTACGAGCATGTTGAATCGAGCAGTGTCTCAATTTGGTAATGACCAAAGACAGGCACATCAACATCCATCTGTATACAAGCAATTGAGTCAGCAATCTTTTGGCTCCGTACACAGTAATAATGCATTCGAAACCATCAATCAGGAGAAGATCAATCCGAGTCGAGTGGAAGCAATGCATAACATGTTTGAGAGAGGAACCGCCCCTACTTCATGGAAAATGCAACAACCAAAAGATGGTTTTGATGACAGGAATCAGGTACTTTTTGAATGAAATCTCTTTTTCTCTTTATGCTGTGATCTTTCCTCCTGAGTAGATCAGTTTTTGATTGCTTACTAGTTAGCTAATAAATGCAGTGAATAAAATCTGCTACAGCTCCATACCGGACCTTCTCAATGATCACAAGAATTCTGCATTAATGCAATGACCTCATTCTGAGAAGTGAGTGTCTATTATGATATGGTTTTTTGTCCTTAAGGGGATTTTATTGAAATACTCAAATTCCAATCCTAAACTTCGAAAACGTTTCAGAAGATGTCCCCACTGCAGGAGGTCACATATGCCACACTCAACAGCTACTCCCCAACCCCACAGGTTCAATCAAATGGAAACGGAATGACTCGAAATTCGTCCCAGAATCAGATATCATATCATGACTACACTCCTCAATTGCCAACTACGCAACCACCACAAAGACCACCTGGATCTGCGAACTCATCTCAGGGCGGATATTACTCATCAAACAGTTCTGGAATCGGTTCCAACTATCCACAGAATCAGCAGAATCAGTATAATGTGAGTGTTTCAGAAAAATGCCAAGTATGAATATTTGATGTATGGAAATTCTTTTTACCGTAAAACAAATAATAGAAGGGCTCTTAATTTTTAACTTTGAGTCAATTTTCTCAATTTCTGTAAAAGATATAAAAAAATGTGTCAACTGATAAATGTTTTATCATAATATCACCAAAATGTTATTAGTTGACAAGTTTTTGATACTTTGCGTAGGAATCGATATAATTGAGCTAAAAGTTGACGATTTGGGTGGGCTTCTAATAAATGAAATACGGTACCTGATGTATGGGAATCCTTCAAAAATCAACCCGGTTTCTACTATAATTCTGAAAGGAATACTTTCAGAATCCAAGACGTAGTCTCATCATTGATCAACAATCAATACCCTCTAGAATGCCATCTGTGGAGAATGACGATGATGATGGATTCTACGATAACATCGGAATCGTATGTTTCTTTTTTCCATTGAAACCTTTAAACTTCTTTTTTATTACAGTATGATGACAGACGGTTTTCTCGTGGCAGTGAGCTCGAAAACTCGGTTTCATTCCGTCAACTCCCTCCGGCTTCTAACCAATCATCCGGTCATAAACACAATCGAATCGGGTCGTTCTTGAGAAAAATTGGTGGAGTCTCGAATCGTCCGCCGGGAAGTGCAGCCAGTTTGATGTCTTTGAATAAGATTTCAAACGAAACCATTATCAAACCGGGTGGTCTTATGAAGAGCAACAGTCTGAGCAATGAGCCTTGGAAAAAAGTAGTTCTTGGAGGAGGAGCAAGTATGCCAAGAGAAGGTACAGTTGATTTTTTATTTTCTATGACTCAAAAAAAAGGAAATTGTATTCGGTTCAAGTTGAACCCAAAATGTATCGTTTGTTATTACTATTTAGGGTGGTATCTTTAGTATTCCTAAAAAAATTTTTAACCAAATGCAACACATTTTCAGCAAACAACAATCACAAAACTGGTCTCGGAGCTCGCCTCAAAAATTCATTATTCGGCTCTCGAAAACGATTGGACGGTTAATTTTCTTGTTCTTTCCACACTTCTTATTTTATTCTTTTTTTTCACACATATTTAACCATGTATCTTTTTGCTCAAATCAAATAACAAATGTTCAGTTGAAATGCGGTTTATCAATTCAATTTGTATCCCCTTCTTTTCTCTCTCTCTCTTTATGTTGTGTAAATTGATGACAATGTTGAGAAAATAACTCTTCAAATGAGCCATTTTTGAAGATTTTTCCTCACTTTATTTGTCTATATTCATATTTTCTAAAATTTTCAACACTTATTTATCATTAATTTGTGTTAATGAATTTTCTACGTTTTTCCGGTGACTCAATTTTTAGATTGCCTTTAAATCGCCCAAAAATGCACACAATTTCGAATTTCTCGTAATTTTTTGAACTTTTGGAGTTTGCTTTAATGTTTTTGAAAATTTTCTGAAATTTCGGAATTTCTGAACGTTTCAGTAATTTTCTGAGTTTTCTGGAATTACTTGAATTTTCGGTTTTTGAAATTTTTTCTTTTTTTTGCCCATTTTTGACCATTTCCTGTGATTAATTGCTTTGAGAGTATTGAAAAAGGCGAAAAGACCTGAAAGTTTTGAAAACCGATGATTTCACTGAATTTTTACTGTTTTTTGACGAGATAACACCGTGCTTCAGGTTTCCGACAGCATGGAATTCGTTTCTATGCTTCATTCTTTCGAAAAAACTTCGAAAAACACTGAGCGCGAGCGTTTCTTGAGGTTTTCGGTGGAAATCTTGTTTCGCTGAAAGACTCTCGATGATCTCCATCGCCACTAACGTGGTGGCCGGAGTAGTAGGGGGCAGGTGCCAGGCGCCCCTCTGTGGTCTTTCGGGAAGCCCCCGAGATCTACCATGGGATGTTCCCGGGTTCTTTCTGAGAAGTGTGAAGCGGAGGCCGCGGATGTTCGAGTGAACCGAGGGGTTTTGGAAAATTTTTTTCGTTTTCTCATCCTGCGCGTCTGTCTGATTAGATTAGTCTGATCAGTCAAGACGCGGGGACGGCGGTGTTTGATCTTGTTTTGGTCGCGGGAGTGCACGGATATGGATGGATGGGGATGTGGATGGGGATGGGTGGGCCCTTAAAAGAAAAAATCACTGCGCGAAAAAGGTTCTAGTTACTCCAATTTTAGTTGCCCATGGGCCTCTTTCTCAAGGTTGTAATTAGAGGGTGGGATTCTATTTTCAATGATTCAAAATGAAAATTTTTTAAAAACTTTTTATTCAAAATTTTTTCTAAATTCAAAAACTTTTTTCAACTTCTTATTCGAAAAAATTTTTTTTAACTTTTTATTCAAAAATGCAGAAATTTGACAATTCGGAAGTTAAAAATTCTGAAATTCAGTGTTTTGGAAAATGCATAATTTTCACTCTGCCATCCTGAATTTGGAAGTTCCGAATTTATGAAATTCTGAGATTCCAAGGTCTCAAAATTCAAAATCCAGGAATTCTGGAATTCCGGGGAAAATTCGAAAATTCTAAAACTTGGGGTTCCGAATTTTAGAAGAAGTACCTGTATTCATATAGAGAGAGGCCCAGGACACCATGGACATGAAGCGCTCGGTAGTAGATGACTACATACCCCACAACACTTTAGGAGTCCCACGCCCCTTCGAGTTATTCAAGCAAATGTCCGAGATAGGCAGACACACTGACAGAAAAATTTGGGTAGTAAGAAGTAGATTGTTCGTCAACAGTCCGTCGACGACCCGTCGGTTCTCCTCCGGCTGCCTAGCAGTCATTCGCCAGTTTGCACCTCTTAAGCTTTCGTTTAGCAGTTTTTCGGCAGTCCTTTTTACCTGTGTATGAGAGTTTTTTGGGAGAAGTTTTTTTTTCCTATTCTTATGATCTCATAAATTATTCAAGATTTGTCAAATGCTGACAGAGAAAAACATAGCAATCTATATTTATTAGGACAATAAAAGTACACAGAGGAAGTTAAAAATTATCCAAAAACTGATTTGAATGTGTTGCCCAAATGATATCAATTTAGGCTTCGCAATTTCCTGACCATAAAGTTGTTTGACATCAAACTCTCGTTTGGGGGAATCCCCATTTCTGAAAGAGGCAACTACAACTTTCAGCGTTGACTCCCTTACATTTTACAAATGCCAGTGTACTTGCAGATGACTTTTGAATAGTACCACACTGACATATGGAGGTCAGCCTTGTCTCTTTTATGTTCACCACAAGCTTCGCCTCTGCTCAAAACTGCTACGAGTGTCGTTCTGCCATTTCTCTCCATAATGCCTCCTCCACCACTGTCTCCCTCAAAGTATGCATTTATTGGTTGCACTGAAAATCAAGAACCTACTTTACAGGCTAATTGAACATGATCAAAACTATACGAACAAATAACGTTTAGTCCAAATTCACATTTCAAAATCTGGAGAAACATATTAATTCAGGGAAATTAACAATTAGTTTACTTACGTAGCTTGACTCATATCTGAGGATTCCGGTTTGGACTCGTTTATCAGAAGCTACAGAAATGTTTTTTTTATGTTAATAATAACTCACGATCGAAACCAAAATCATAAATTGTAATGTTCTCGAAATAGTTGCTACTGTAGCCATCGACTAAAACAACATCGCGGTGAAGTTTCGATACGGAGACTTACAATCAATACAGATAGGATGAATCTTTTCTGAGAAGAGGACATCTTTATCTAGTTCTACTATAGCAATGTCATCTTGATTGAGATATGTTAGAACATTTCCTGAACACAGTCCGGGTAAGACAACCTAAATTATTTTTTTGAAAACTGAAAGATAATGAGGAATAGGCTTTCACCAGAGCTGGCTTTCTTGTGATTAGATTCGTGGGAAGGTTTATATTTTCACAAGTTTCCTCATCTCGACACCTAGTGGCAAAGTGGATGTCAGCTTCACTTCTTTCAGGAGGAACAATATAATCCCTGAAAATGAATTTCAAGTTGAATCTCAATCTCAGATTTCTTACTCTCCCCGACAGTTATCCTTATTAATAACTTCTCCATTGAAGACGTATCTGAATGATCCGTGCTCGAAATCCCTTACAAAACAGTGTCGAGCAGTAATGATGTGGCGAGAAGATACAAGGGTGGCAGTGCAATGCAAAACCCCTTCGTATCGATACACAGCAATAGGAACAGCCCATGGAGCTTCTTTCGACTCGGTCTTCGTTCCAAATATGACCTTGTTCCTCATAACTATTTCTAATTGAAATAAAAACTAAACATTACATACCCTTTTTATATGGCCCACATACTTGCTGCATTTGTTCATTCTCCAGGCTTGACAATTTTTTCCTAAATAATTCAGTTAAGAAAGTTAAAACTAAGACTCCTCTGAAGATGCAGTGCTTCATCGTCGCTATCGAATCAAAAAATGGTACCTAAGTGGTTGCTTTTTAATTTTTCATGTCACGCTTTCTTTCCAATGTGTCATTGAAGTTTTAAATCTGCACCCGCTCCACCCATACCTATTATCCGTTCCTCACTTACTGAGCCTTTTTTCTACCATACTCCGCAATATCATGAAGGGACTCTTAATCTACATCATGCTCGCTAGTCTTTAGAAGTGCTTCTTCATTATCATTTTTTGGATAATTGGTATACTCTAGAGTCTACAGCCTAGAGTGCTCCCTCTGTGTGCTGTGTGCAATTATCATCAGCGGGACAGGCGAGTTGTGTGCGTCTTCGCGTGACGGTGTTTGCACAAATAACCAAAAATATTAATCGGACAGCAGCCTGCATTTTTTTAAAGTTTCTCTTCAATTTTAAAAACTCTATAAATATATTAAAAAATACTGAATACCCTAAAAAGGCCTCTAAAAGTTTATATGTCTTTCTTAATCTGTATGTGTCGTCTCCCAACGAAAAACTAACAAAATTTCGTCATGTTTTCAGCTTGTCTTATTCTGTTACCGTACACACCGAAGACTTAATTTCTCAAATTTCAGCAAAAATGTGGAGATTATGCCGAAAATCTCCGAAGCAGATTAGGAACTCGGTGGAGTCATGTTTTAAATCTGTGAATGCTCGGCACTTCTCCGTTAGTTCGTTCCAGTCAGCTAATGATGATGTAATTTTAAAATATAATCAGTCTAAAATATCAATTTTTCTCCAGAAGACAGTGCTCAAAAGACAGGAAGTTCTCCATCTTCTCGCCAAAGATCAGCGATTTGAAGAAAAGTTTTTCAACCAAGTTCAGCAGACAGTTCGATATTTTGCACAAAAACCGAACGATCTGAAGAAATTCTTCAAAAAAGACTCAAACAATAGTTCTTCGGAAAAGAAAGGTAATGGCTAGTTTTCATTCCTTCAAAGAATTTCAAAAATTTTCAGAGTCATCTTCGAACAAAGACAGCAGTGGCAAGAAAGGAGAAGACAATAGCCCATTTAATCAATTGTAGGTATTTTTAAAATTTGAGTTGATTTTAATAATTGATTTACAGCCCGGGAGGATGGCAGCAAATTGCAGTGTCAGCGGGTATCCTCATTGCTTTATATTTGTTCATGGACTATCAATCATATCGTGAGATTTCCTGGAAAGAGTTTTACAGCGATTTCTTGGAGCCCGGACTTGTGGAAAGACTTGAAGTAGTCGACAAACGATGGGTCAGAATCGTCAGTTCGTCTGGAAAGTATGCAGGAGTGAGATTTGAATTTTTACTAACAAAACTTGAACAACTTGTTTTCAGCAAACATGCTATTTCAATATTGGAAGCGTAGACAGCTTTGAACGCAGTCTAGGTGCAGCTCAACATCATCTCCAATATGACGCAGATCGCCAGATTCCAGTTCTATACAAATCAGAGTTTAACTTGTGAGTTTTCATTAGTCAGCTTCGTTTCATGCTGAATTTAATTTCAGCAAACGGGAAATCCCAAATTTGATCAGTGTAGCGTTTCCACTATTGTTCGGTTATTATATCTATCGAATGCTGAAAGGAGGTGGAGCTGCCGGAGGCGCAGGAAGAGCCGGTGGTGGAGGACTAGGAGGAATGTTTGGAGGATTCGGACAAAGTACTGCTCGTCTTATCAATAAAGAAGACATCAAAGTGAAGTTCTCTGATGTTGCTGGCTGTGAAGAAGCGAAAATCGAGATTATGGAGTTTGTCAATTTTTTGAAAAACCCTCAACAATACAAAGATCTTGGAGCAAAAATTCCGAAAGGAGCTATTTTGACCGGACCACCTGGTACAGGAAAAACTCTTCTTGCTAAAGCTACTGCGGGAGAAGCCAATGTTCCGTTCATCACAGTTTCTGGATCCGAATTTCTGGAAATGTTCGTTGGAGTAGGTCCAGCAAGAGTCCGTGATATGTTCTCCATGGCTAGAAAAAACTCTCCATGCATCCTGTTTATTGACGAAATCGACGCAGTTGGTCGAAAGAGAGGAGGAAAAGGAGGAATGGGAGGACACTCAGAACAAGAGAATACGCTCAATCAGCTTCTTGTCGAAATGGATGGATTCACAACCGATGAATCTTCAGTTATTGTAATTGCAGCCACTAATAGAGTAGACATTCTTGATTCTGCTCTTTTACGTCCTGGACGTTTTGATAGACAAATCTATGTTCCAGTCCCGGATATCAAAGGTCGTGCTTCCATCTTCAGAGTTCATCTTGGACCGTTGCGTACTTCTCTCGATAAAACAGTGTTGTCCCGAAAACTTGCTGCTCACACTCCAGGCTTTTCTGGTGCTGACATCTCCAACGTATGCAATGAAGCAGCTTTGATTGCTGCCAGAGATGCGAACGACGAGATCTCTAACAAACATTTCGAACAAGCTATTGAGCGTGTGGTAGCTGGAATGGAGAAAAAGACACAAGTATTACAAAAAGAGGAGAAGAAAACAGTGGCATATCATGAGGCCGGTCATGCGATCGCAGGATGGTTCCTTGAATACGCTGATCCACTTCTGAAAGTTTCAATCATTCCACGTGGAAAAGGATTGGGTTATGCGCAATATCTGCCAAAAGAGCAATACTTGTACTCAAAGGAACAATTACTTGACAGGTATTCGTTGAAAAAACTATGTTCTAATCATCGAATTCTACTTTTTCAGAATGTGTATGACTCTCGGAGGACGTGTGGCGGAAGAAATTTTCTTTGGAAGAATCACAACTGGTGCTCAAGACGACTTGCAGAAAGTAACTCAAATGGCTTACTCTCAGGTTAATGAAAAAATATTTTTATTATTTGAAAAAATTGAAGAACAAAAAAAATCACATTTGGTATCATAGTAGGTTGGGTAGGGTTAGGAAAAAAGGACTAATCCAACACTAAAGAGTTTTTATCCAATGACTCGGTGAGCCCTTCGCAGATGGTTGATGCGATTCCAGTGTTAGGATCCACGGTACAAGTACACTTTACCGGAACGGTGGTTGTGAATGTAGCAAGAATAAGGAATATAAATAGAATGCAGAGGATTTGCTTCATGTTGACCGGCGAATAGATGATAGAAACGACGTTGAAACTGCTTTGTGTGCTTTCCAGACATATGGACTAGATTATGTTTTTGTTGGCAATCGAAAGAAATAGTTTGTGGTCTGGAAGAGGTAGAAGACATGTGAAGACATCACGACATGTGGGCTGTTGTGCCAGGCTTTTCATTGGTTTGAAAAAAAAAAGACAACGGAAAAATCGAGTTTTAAAAATATAGAAATAATAAATAAGATAAGTTAATAGTTAAGTAATAAATAAGATAAGCTAATAAGTTAGTTAATCCTTCTGATCCTTATGATCCTTCTCTCATGGACGTTGAACGTAGGCTCCGTGGTTTCCATCCTGAAAAAGTTTGATTACGATAAAGGAGTGATTATTATCATATTATCACCTCTACAACCTCAATAATGAATTGTTTGTTTCCGTCCGGAAGAACATACTGGTCGTGTGGTTTTGGCAAGGCATATCCAGATGGATTTGGGACAGGGGCGTGTTTCGGTGTTCCGATCGATTTTAAGAGTTCCTCTACATTTTTCTCGATTTTTTCCAAAGAAGCCGAACATTGCTGGCATTTTTCGAGATCCTTTTTCAAACCCTCATTTTCTATTTTAAGTTTTCCAGCGTCATTCTGTGCTGATATGGCCTGTTCGATGACCTTAAAGCCAAACGATTAATATCAAAAATCTTTTAGTAGGACTTACTTTTAACAAAACACCGTTTACGTCGCTCGTTGGGCCCTGCGATGTAGTTGATCTGAAGACACATTTTGTTAGTCTTGAATTACTTGCTCAACTTACTTTTGGTTTTTGACCGACACATTTCCTTGCTCCAGCAGCTTCTTCATAGATGTCAGTAGATTGATCTCTCCCGAATTTTCGGAGTTAGCCTTGGTGATGCTAGAAGTCGGCGCACAGTAAACGACATGAAGGCAATACACGATGGTCACGAGGAACGAGAGCTTCATAGCTAAAAACTTCAGTGAGCTGATGAAAGTGACGACCGTTCATTCCCTTTTATACCAGGCTAGGCATAGGATGGTACCGGTGTGTGTATGGAACAACTACGAGATGAGTCAGAAACACTGGATCAGTTTGGTATTATACCTTTGTTCAAACTATTGATAGTGCAAGGATGTATCATTAGTCATCTACTATAGTATACATAGAAATGTGCATTTTGTATTTTTAATATTAAAAAAATTGCAGGTTGTGAAGTTTGGAATGAGCGAAAAGGTTGGACCACTCTCCTTTGACACACCGGCTCCGGGTGAGATGGCGTTTGACAAACCATATTCTGAAGCGACCGCGCAACTGATTGATCAAGAAGTAAGAATTTTATAACAAGATGCAAATTCTGATGTTATTCCAATTTAAGGTTAGAGATTTGGTGACGAATGCTCTCAAAAGAACTCGTGAATTGCTCCTGAAGAAGTATGATGATATTGAGAAAGTAGCTCTGAGGCTCCTTGAGAAAGAGATTCTCAATCGCGAGGACATGATTGAGCTACTTGGAAAACGACCGTTCCACGAGAAGAACACATACGAAGAGATGGTTTCGGGCACTGGTGGACTGGATGAGAATGTGGAATTGCCGAAAGGTCTTGAGAATTGGAATAAGGAAGGTGAAAAAAATGAGAAGAGCGAGAAAAAGAAAGAAGAATGATGCTGTTTTTGTTCGACTTCTAAATGGATCTCCTTTTCCTTTTTTGTTTTTTTTTGTTTTAGGTTCTCTCAGAGTAGAATTGTAGTTTTTTGTTTTCTTTTAAGACTGGTACTTCTCGATAAACCTTACTTTCTCTTTTTTTTTGTTGTTCCGCATTCTACGAACTCTCGTTCCTAGGTGATTGTATTGTTTAGACCTTGTAAAGCCATCAGTTTCTTACTTTTTCTCTGATTTATACCTTTGTTCTTTTTTTGCATAAGAAATCTGTTCAATTCGAAGTCGCAACGCAAAAGTATCTAAAATTGCTTTTATACTTGAGTAGTCCATTGTGATCCTTTTTCATATAAAAATAACATATCCAGATGAGTGGAAAAGGTCGAGGAGGTGGTTCGTCAAACACAATGCGAAGTGTTGCCAACGCGTTGGGAATTGCACGATATGACATGGCTAAAATGATGTCCCAACAGAAAATTGAGCCGCCAGCGTTGTATCCGGTATGAAAAATGAATTAGAACTTGCCATCTAGTAGTTTATACTGATGGAAGCAACGCCGATGTCTGCTGGTCATTGATATGACTCAAAATATTTCCAGAAAGTGCGACGAGAGCCAGTTCCTCTTGAAATGACTACCGATATGCTTTATGTGTCTCGACTCAAAGTTGAACTTGATCAGCGAATGCGAGATTCTCAGTTTTTCATCGAGGCAGAAAAAGAAGACGAAATTAAACGGTACTTGGATAAGTACTCACTCATTAAACGGGAAAAACTTGATATCGGTAATCGATCTTTCCCATAATATATTAAATGCCTCATTCTTTTTAAGATATGTCACAAATGCCTTCTGAGCTTGTCTGGAGGCGATCGAGCAATAAGTTATCGAAAGATTCCGGAGCAAAGAAACGCAAACTTGCCAATGATGACTCGTTGATTGCAGAAAAACTTAACAAGTTGGAAGAAAAAGAAGGGCATAATAAGGAAGAGGATGATGACGATAAACCAGATAATGATGTTGGTTTTAGTATTCTTTCATGAATTTTTCAGAATATATTGTGAAACCTGTTTTTACAGAACGATTCCGGGAGTGAAAAATCTGCAGCTGAAGAAGAAGAGAATCCCCTATCGGACGATGATAATCAAGAAGAAGACAACGACTACATCTCGAACTATTTCGATAACGGCGAAGGATATGGCGATGGTGGCAGTGATGACAACATGGATGGGGATGAATACTAAATTTTCCGCTAATTGCTCAATTTTATGCTGTTAATGTTTTGTTGTTCTTGTTTCTCGATAAAAGTTTCGTTCGTTTCCGTTCGCCACCATGCTTGGATTACTGTCATCGAGGTACCGCCCTCTTTTCGTAAGCACGCTCTGTTGGCACGACCGAACGCACTTGTTTCGCGCCAATTCGGCAAATTTGAAGTGTGAATAATTTTCTGGATTTGTCTTTTTTTGGGTTTTCTCATACAATGAAAACAAAGAATTGCTATAATTCGTGAAAATCAGCAAAATTTCACTGTTTTCAATGAAATTTTTCAGAATATGTCTTTCCCTGAATCTGCGCTGTCTCGCGAATCACATTTTTATGTTAAACTGCTCAATTTTCAAAATTTTACAGGAATTATTTACAATTACTAACTTCGAAGCTTAATCACCATGGGAATTAAAGGACTTTCCCAGGTTATTGCGGATCATGCGCCATCTGCGATCAAAGTGCAAGAAATCAAAGCTTTCTTCGGAAGAAAAGTGACACATCACATTTGTTCAATATTTAATTTCCATATTTCAGGTTGCGATCGATGCTTCCATGTGCTTGTACCAGTTCCTGATTGCTATTCGCCAAGATGGTTCGCAAATGCAGAGTGAAGATGGTGAAACCACAAGTCATCTGATGGGAATGTTCTATCGAACTATTCGGATGATTGATAATGGAATCAAACCAGTCTATGTCTTCGATGGAAAACCACCAGACATGAAGAGTGGAGAGCTTGAAAAGCGTACAGAACGACGTGCTGAAGCTGAAAAGGCATTGACCGAGGCTAAAGAGAAAGGAGATGCAAAAGAAGCGGAGAAGTTTGAAAGACGTCTGGTTAAGGTAACAAAGCAGCAAAACGAAGAAGTCAAACAGTTGCTGGGATTGATGGGGATTCCGGTGGTTGAAGCTCCGTGCGAAGCTGAAGCACAATGTGCTAATCTTGTCAAAGCAGGAAAAGTGTATGGAACAGCTACAGAGGACATGGACGCTCTCACTTTCGGATCGTGTGTTCTTTTAAGACACTTATTGGCTCCGGAGGCGAAAAAAATTCCGATCAAGGAGTTCCATCTGGCTCGTGTATTAGAGGAGATGCAACTGACTAAAGATCAATTCATTGATCTTTGCATTCTGCTTGGCTGTGACTACTGTGGAACCATCCGTGGAATTGGCCCGAAAAAAGCTGTTGAATTGATCAAGCAACACAAAAACATCGAGACTGTTCTTGAGAATATTGATCAGACGGTATGTGAGAAAGAACATTCGTAATACTTTTTCATTTTGAAATTTCAGAAATATCCACCTCCAGCCGACTGGCCATACAAACGGGCTCGTGAGCTTTTCCACGAACCAGAAGTGATGAAATGTGACGAAGTGGAGCTAACATGGAAAGATCCTGACGTTGAGGGAATCGTGAAGTTTATGTGCGGCGAAAAGAACTTCAGGTAAGTTCCGTCACTACAATTTATTCTGAATAAAAATCTTTAGCGAGGATCGAATCCGTTCAGCAATGGTTAGAATGCAAAAAAGCCGAAACGCTGGCACCCAAGGACGCATTGATTCATTCTTCACTGTCTCATCTCAAGTCAAATGTGTCACAGTTGCTAAAAGGAAGGCTCAGGAAGAAGCTGAGAAGATGAAAAAGGGTGGCAAGAAGAGTGGTCCACCAAAGAAGAAGGCAAAGTAGGCACAAAAAAAATGCTGACCACTTCAATTATGATCTCGAGTATTATCAGTTTGATAAATTTTGAACATTGACGAATTCACATTTATTTTTAATTCATATTTATTAAAGAAAAAAACCAACAACAACTTCTATAGATTGTGATCTAAAGAAGAAACATAGAATGCAAGTATATCCTACTTTAGGGAAAAAAAGGAGGGGGGGGGAGAGTTTAGAAAATTCCTTTAAAAATTTCTACTAAAATGATTGGCCAGGTTTGAATGAGTGCGAAAATAGTTAGAGCCAGAAGAGCAATAATGAGGATCCAGAGAAGTATTTGGAGACCGTAGTAGTGCCAAAAGTATTTGATGCATGGCTTGATCCGCGAAACCAGCCATGAATTGGCCCACGTTTTGCGGTTTGGCTTCTCCAAGAATGGGCTCTGAAATCAAACAATGAGAAAACAAGTATCTTTAAAATGTGGCTGACGTGATTCGGCTCTGCTCGTTTCTTTCCAGCCGGTTCTTGGTCTGCTTCTTGTTTTGTCAACAGCATCATGTCCATCTCAACGAGTCCCATGATCCATTTCGGATCTTTTCCGATGTCATCATTCTTCTTTTTAGCATTTTGAGGCTCTTCCTGAATTTTGATGCAGTTTTGTAGTTGCTTTGATTCACAACTTACATGTGGATACTCATCTGTCAACATCGGCCACCAACCATACAAATTGCGAGCTTCAAAGATATTGACGGTGTCGTCATAACCTTCTGGCTCGACAAACAGCTGAAGTAAAACGTATTTTCCCATTAGAATTAGATTGCAAATACCACAGGTTTCGGGAACGGCTTCTTCTTGACTTTTCTTCTTCCACAGAGACATTTTGTTTCGTAGCAGAAGATGCAACAACGACAGAGACATCCACGACTGGTACAACACTTTGGGCACTTCACTCGTTTCTTTCTTTGTTTGGTGGAGTAGACTCCAACGTCAGCTGGAGAACCAATTCCTTCTGTAAAAATGGAATTTCAATTCATTTTCTTCAATTCCCGAATACCAATGAAATCAAGAAGATCGAGCTCGATATCTCCAAGAAGACGATCTTTCCGGAACTTGTTTTTATCCCAAAGTTCGATGACGAGAATCGGATCAACGAGCTCTTCAACTGGCTTTCGGAAGTAACGCGTTTTGGTGTATGCCACTACTTTCTTCTCCCACGGATTGTAGTCGAAGTTGAGCAAAAAACGCCAATTGAACTCACCAGTTCCATCGAGAACTCTGAAATTAGTGTAAGTTATTATCGTTATCTAAGTTTTTGTTCCGCCAGCTTCACCGGAAATGTGTATCTGTTTTATGTCCCTTCGTCATGCCGTTGATGAATGCCTTGACATAAAGATCGGAGACTGGCTCAGCGAAGCTTCGTTTGACTGGAATGGCTCCACGGACATCCATCACGGCAATTCTGAGTTGATAGCTGACAGGCTTTCTAGGTGAAATGTTGAATGGAGCAGGAATGGATCCGTATTCTTTCTGAAACACTTTGTAACCTTTTTAGTTAAAAAATATAGAACCGACCGGGAAGATATCAACGAACATCCGAAGTTCTCCCTTCTGAATTCGACCACATTTATCAGAAAACAATGGACGTGTCTCGACATGTTCTGGAACTAAATTGATCTGTCTCAAAAGAAACAGAGCGATAGTTTCCAGTTGAGTTCCCATGATTCTCAGCTTCGCTTTCTTTCTGATCTCTCCTTCTGCCGTTTCCTCTTTTCCAGGTGCTGATTTCTTTGGTTTGACCTCCTTGCTTCTCTGCTTCTCCCAACTCTCTTTCTCTTTTTCCATTTCCAGGTCAACGTCATCCCAACTTCCTGGAGAACGATCTTCTTCCTTATCATCAGTTTCTTCTTTTCCAGCTTTCTGCCGTTGGGAATTCAACATGGCAACTTCTTCGCTGAAAAATTCCCAAATCAATTGAGTTTCATTCAAAACTAGCTCACTTTTCGATGACATGAATAACATCGGAAAACCAGAACGTGATTTTCTCGATTGTGATCCCTTTCTCTTCTCCTTTATCTGTTTGTCTACTCTCAACTTTTGGAACGGACAACATCATTTTGTAGCAGTATCTGAAATAGAGAAATTCTAAATTTAGAAACAAACACAAATTTGAACGATTTAAGAATCTCCAAAGGAGTCATTTGATCTCTCCATTGTTGCTCTCCATGCACAGTGTACTGTCCACTGAGACCACAAGTAGCCCTCCATTTAGTGAGAAGACGATTTTCAAGGTCGATCGTGGTGGAACCGATTTCCTGATCCGTAAGAATCCTTCGTTTATCCATCACCGTAATCTTGAGATCCTTTTCCAATGGAATCGTCACTGTCACATCAATCCTTTCTCCAAAAATTGGGTCGCAGCATTCAGCCCGATAATTCTTTTTTAGATTCACTTTTTGTTTACCACAACGGAGTTTCACATATGAATCAACTCTTCCTTTTCGGGCATTCGAAATCAATCCATTAGCTTCGATGATGTAAATTCTGACGAGACATTCGGTGGGACCAACAAAGTCGACGACTGGATTGATGGCTGCTGGTGGTTTGTCTTTTTTGATTTTAGAAACCAAGAGACGACATTTCAGCTCTCCGGCTTTTTCTTTTTCTTCTGGATCATCGAAATCACCTTTCATTGATTTGACGAATGGGAATGTGCTCAAGAAATCAGTGAAATGATTGTATCCGTTCATTTCTTCTAGTGGTCGACGGAACACTCGCAAATACTCCATTCCAGATCTGTAGATTAACAAGTATTGACCGTTTTTGTAACTAAACGTACTCTGGATATCCAGGTGATCTGTGGAATTGTGACATTGAAGCATAGTAACGACTCCACCAATCAAGAGGAACCATTGGATCGACAGTCAGAGTTGGAAGTCGAACCATTTTAATGATTTTATCATGCTCTTCCAGAACGATTTCTTCAAGTACATCCCACTTCTCAGCATGATCACTTTTAGCCTATTGGAATATAAATTATTTATATACTCAAAAAAAGTGAATTCACCTTTGGAATGATGTGAGAGATGAATTTGTGCAGATCAGAAATCAAACATGAGCCAACAAGAGGTTTCCGGTTGAAAGATCTTGCATCAAAAAGATTGATAATGAATGGAGGAGAGAGTTCGAGAGCAGAAGGGAGAATCACTTCAGCGAATACAATCATCGGCTCTGGGAAGTTTGGATTCTTCCTAACGTCTTTTAGAGGTTCCAGAGTGAATTCTTGGTCACCGATTGCAAGTTCGACGAATGGACGACGAACGGCAAGAAGCTAAAACATGTCTTTATCGGAAACTTCAGCTGATATAGTATACCTTATGCTTTTTGAGATTTCTGACACCCCAACACAGAAACTGGATATGATACTTGTCGAATTGCGGACGGAACTCAGATGGAATTTCTCTTCTCTCCTTGGCATTATGTTTCAGTCCAGGTTCCAATGGAATCAAATCTTTTTCTTCTTCTTGATACAACTCGAAACATGCCAAAACTGCTCCACGAGTACGTCCCTTCGAGAATCGTAGAGGAAACCATTGTGGTGTTCCACGATGATCCGTCTTCGAGCAGATGACTGTTGGTGTTGTCTCAAATCTTCCGAGATTCGCTTCTTCGTTATTTGTGCATTCTCCGACAACTTCAACCGAGATAACTGGAGGATATCTCATGATATCGTGAGTTCCGCCAGCTATCAACACTGAACGAAACATCACAGTTTCATTCCAAATTGGATTTTGTGAGTTGTCGACCAACATGGTTTGTTTTGTTTGATGAGCAAACGAAACCCGAACGAATGCTCGAGAAGAATTTTTAACAACCGGAAGAAGAGCATTTGCCCACATAACATAGCATCTGAGTTGCCATTTTGCCGTTTCCATTTGATATTCGTAGAGACGAAATCTTGGATCATCCGCATCTGTGCTGAAATTTAAAAAAAGTTATTTCGAACTTTGAAAACAGAGTTTTGGATTGAAAAAACAATCAGAGAACTAAAATGTGTCAAATGTCTCTATATAGAAACTTACTCTTGATGTTCAACCTCTCGGATGTATCTTCTTCTTCGGATCCTATCAGAACCATCTTCTCCATCGTGATATGGACCTTCTTTCTTACTCGCAGAATACTAATAAAAACTGTTTTTTTTTCAAATTGCCAGTTTTTACTCACCTCCCAGTTCTCATTGCCCATTATTGTGCGAAAGTGCTCAAAGTCCTCCAACTCTTTATTATACGCCTCTAACTTCCTTGATCGTTTAATGCAACGGATTCTAAAGTTGTGATGCTCCTTCGCCTCTCGATCAGTGGATACTCCATCACCGAAGAAAACGCCATTCGTCGAGTAAACCCATCCTTTGTCATCTCCATTGTTTCGGAACTTATCAGGAACCCAAGTATCAGTTTTGTATCCTTTCGACGCCTTTTCAAAGTCTTCACGAGTCAACTCGCTTCCATAGAAATCCGTGTATTTCATATGTTTCCATGCCCCTTTCTCAGATTTCTTCTGTACTTCGAATGCTTTGTCATGGATTGTCTGATGGCCAAGTCTCGGAACAAACATCTCTCTAGTGTTCATCACAACCCAATGACCAACTGGAGTCCATCCTTTCTGTAGCTCTGGTAGCTTATCACTTCTTTCTCCGTTCCCATCGTAAAGTCCCGAATCGTTGTCCTTCCATTTGAGTGTGATCCCTTTAGACTGCATTTCGTACATTTCCATGAATCGTCTTACTTCGGCTGGTTGTACATGATCCTTCCACTTTGACAATCTGCTGTTATGTCCAAACCACATCTTCGCATGAAGAACAGCAACGAACTGAAAAAAGCATTCATGAAAGGAAATATAACGATTACAAAACAAACCTCTTTCTTCCTGTTTCTCTGATCAAGAAGAGTTGGCCATTGAATGTTGATTGGTCTTGTTCTGCCACACCATTCTCCGGATTGAGCATCTTCTCCCGATTGGAATATTTCCAAAACTGGAATTTTAGCAAATCCAATGAGTTTCCCATATGACATCATTTTTATTATGACAGGAGGGATACTTATTTGAATGTCTTCAGCCAAATCAAATGTTAGAGATCTCATTTGGAGAAGCATCCGAAGAAGTTTAGCATCCACCTCTTCATCAGAATAATCAACGTTGAAGTGCTCTTTTTCGAAATGCTCCTTCAGTTTGACAACTTTTTCTTTACGAGAAGAAAGGAGATTTCGGTCTAGATCACTTCTGGTCACTATGCTGACATGTCTGAAAAGAATTGGAATAGTTAGATTGCATGCTTTAAACTAACTTCAAGTAAGCACTAGAGGATTCGATCATCTGTTCCAGATAGTTCAATGCTTCTATTCCAACGGAAGCAACATGATCAATTGCTCCATTTCCGATTCTTCTCACTTCCCAAATCATTTTATCCAGCATGTTTGTCATCTTCATCAGAACATTGCTCATTTCAATTCTGTACTCAATTGATTCGAATGCTCCATTCACTTCAGCAACTGGACGTAAGTTTCCCCACGGCATTGCGAAGTACTTGCAGCCATCCCAATTCGGTTCAGCCTAAAAAAAATCAAAAAAGTTAGAAATCAATTCAAGGATCGTACGGGTAGAGTTGAGCTACTGCATGATTTGGTCTCCGAACTGATGCTACCATAAGGACCAATCGACATCAAAATACAAATTGGATCAGATGCAAACTGAGGATTGATCATGTTCAGAGCACTCATTGAGCAGAATGCGCTGTAAAACTCGACACTTCTCTGTAAATAATCAATGTCTTGAACCCTCGTCTTCATACTCCTACAGTAATCGCTTCAGCTTCTATGATTGGAGAATGATCGAGATGCATTCGTTGAGCTGCAGATTCTCCCATGTATTCAACACAATCGATTGCAAGAAAAAGACGTCCAATGAATCTGAAAACTGTGTTAAAACATTAATTCTAGAAACTGTTTTTTCTACCGGCTTCCATCTTGTTGCGCTCCTCTATTTTTCTTTGAGAAGAGACTGAATCTAGTGACCCTTTCACAGTCGAAAACGTTGAGATATGCAGGTCCAAATGTTGGAAGAAATCCCGTTTCTCCTGGTTCATAAATCTTTCTCAGGGGAATCGTTGCCTTCCCGATACAAGTCTTGCTTCTTCCGCGTTTTGTGTACAAAGAGAAAACAATCTGTAAATATGAATTGTACCATTGTTTGTGGTGCAAAGCAACCTCTGATATGACAGTTGGCCATTGAATCGGAATATAGATTTCCTGTTGAAACTTGACAGACGCCGTGTTATCCTCTTCATCCAGATATGCTGTCTCCTGTGTCGTCTCTGTTTTATGTCCTCCACAATCAACAGTCACATAGAATTTTTGCTTTTTCTTCAACTTTTTCTCGTTTATCATTTTCCGAATCAACTGCTCCACAGAAAAGAATCGAACCTAAATTAGCAATTCAGGATAATATTCGAGGTTCTCTCACCTTTAAAGTATAATCACTGAGATGTGCTCCACTCCAAATCTGTTCTTTTCCATCGTCGTCAATCAACTGTGGCGGCGATTCGTCAATACGATAAACGGACAGAGTCACTTTCAGAAATCCACAATTTTCATATGCAAAGTCATCCGGTTCCTCATCATCCATTCCAGGGAAACCAAGAGCAACCCATTTGGCTACTACTGATCGATCAGGAGAATGAATCACTTCCGATAGGTAGCAAGAAAATTCTCCAATATTTGTTTCTCCCAGTGTAGTTGGCCGAACGAGCTGAATCAATTATTTTTACAAAGAACTAGAAGGCCGAATACCTTCAGAATGAGAACTTTGGATGCCAACTTTTCTAACGGAATGTTCTTCTGAGTGTAGAGAATATTCTGACGCCATTTGGGAATCGCATGGGTTACTGTACGAGTCATTTTGGATTTCTCATCAAAAACAGTACGAACTCTTGCGGAGCCTGAACGACCCAAAGTTACCGAATCAAACATAAATTCAAAAATTTCACCTGCGCTGACATCTTTAGCCTCAATGACTCGTACGAGAATATTCCATGTACATGGTTTGTCAGTATCCTGTAACTTTCTCTTCCCAAAGTTCTTCCCATCATCTGGAAGCAATTCGATTTCCGACCCCTCGTCTTCCGAATTATCCTGAATAACAAATCAAATCGTCTGCTTGGTTATTTTCATGTCTCAAACCGTAAATGCTGATTTTCCATTTGTACTCTCGCTGCTCCGCTTGCTTGATTTGCTTGTATTCTTTGAATTATTGTCTGAATCTTCTTCAGCTCCATCGTTTTCCGGGTTATTTGACTGAAATTTTTGTTAAATTTTTCCCAATAAATTATTTTTTAATTTGGGCTCCGAAGCTACGTACCACTTCACTGGATGATGCAACAGGTGTCAGTTTTTGTTTCACTTTCTTCAGTTTGTCTTTGACCGCCATTTTTGAATGCTGTCAGCTGACAACTTCACGCTTCAGAAGCTCTTTTAGATCACGTGGCAACATTTCGTGGATCTTTGTGGAATTTAGCGTGGATACGTTGGCGTTCACGTGAATATTCAAGATATATTTTTAAAAGCTTATTGGCTAACGCGTGTCTGTTACGGAAGAATGGAGTACCAAAACATCAAATAGGTCAAACAACTTGATACTAAAATAACAATAATAAACCAAGTTGGTTTAACCAACTAGATATAATTACATACAAATGTTTATTCAAGAACGAAATAAGCACCAGTTAATGTTTGTTATCAGAAGAATTCCAGTTTATTCACTACTTCTTATCAAAACAATCGTTTCCAATTCCAGCCAAAGTTTGATAATTCGGATCATGAGTGGCTGCCATTCCAGGTCCTCCAGGTTTAGGAGCAGGTGCAGCACCTCCAGCAGCGGCGGGTTTTCCTTTCTCTTGGAATACATTTCCATCGACTCCAGCCAACGTCTGATAGTTTGGATCATGGGTTCCAGCAACCGCATCTTTGTCAGCTGGAGCTTTTGGAGCATTTGCTTTGTCTCCTTCCGGTTTATCACCTTCTTTGGAACTTTTCGATTCACCTCCAGCTTTGGCAGCGGCTGCACCACCTGCTGGTGGAGGAGCAGGTTTCTGAAAAATGAATTTTGGAAATATGTAGGTCAGAAATAGAGATACAGTACCTTGCCGCATTGAACAAGAGCGTAGCCAGCTAGAAGAGCCGGAACAATCATGTGAAGACAAATTTGAGCCTGTTGAAGGAGTGTATTGATGTTCTCTGTCATGTTCTTCTGTGAACGAATAATAAATTATTTGATAATTTGAATATCGAAAACTGACAAGAAAACGAAAGAACGCCAGGAAATATTTGGTTGTTCACTCAGAAAAATTTGAAATCTGTGAGAAGTGGATTTTTGTTGTTTGGTGAAGGATTCACGCAAAAAAACTGTACTATGAACTATTTATGAACTATTGAGACATTTGAAATTTCAGGAAACCTTGTTCATTGGAGCAGGAGGTCTGTATGCACAGTACTGTTCGAAAAGATCTACAAAAACGTATTTTTCAGTTGAGTTTCGGCCATTTTGACCATTTCCTAAAAAGTTAAAGTGATCGGAAACTTGACAGCCGAGCTCCAGACTCCAGAAAATGCTCAAAGTGACCGAAAATCAACTGAATAGTACGGTTTTGTAACTTGTTTAACGGTACTATACATTAAATTCAATCGATGAAGTAAAACTAAAATTATTTTGCTAAATTCCAAATTTTGATTAAACAATTTTAATAAATAATGTCTTTTAAGATGAACACTTTATTCAATTTATTCAAAAATCATAAGTATCAATGAATTCGGGATTCTGAGATGCCTTGTAAATGAATAGTTCTTTGCAATTGGGAAATGTGGGTTTTCTGAAAATTAAAATAATTTATGAACAATTATACATGTGCAACCCACCAGTTGAGCAATTTCTCTATCTTTCGCTGCTAGTTTATCTGATAAAACCAGTACAGCGCCAGTTGGTTTCTCATCTCTTTGGGACCGTAATTTCAGATTATCAAATTTCTCGAAAAGCGATGAGTAATCTTTTTCCATTCTAACCAAATTTGTTTGACTTTCCTCCAGTCTTTCACGAGTCTGAAATTAATTTTAAAAAATTCGAACTCCTAACAAGGACACTAACCAATTTCAAACTCTCTTTCAGTTGATGATAGTCGCTTCTTTCTGATTTTTCAGGAGCTGATAATTCTAAACCGTCAAGAGTCCGGCCCAGAGATAACGTTTTATCAAGAGACTTCCGACTTGATCGTCTATCAGAAACGGCTTCAACTGAACTGTTTGAAGAGGAAGTTGGAGTTTTTGGATGAGATTTTGAATTCGAAGAAGATGTAGTTGATGAAGAAGAAGAAGACAAAGATTTCACTTTGTGCAGATATTTATGACTTTCACCAGATCGATGACTTCTTCCGGTACTTCTACCAGTTGTCTTATCATCCATTTGAATTAAATCTGTTTGAATTTGAACCGAACTCATTGATGGTCGAATTACAGTCATCGATTTTTTAACTTCTTCTCGTGTTTTGGTTACTTCTTTTCGAATTCGATCGATATTCTCCACTTGGATCTTTTCAATCTCTTTCACATGTTTCGACTTCAAATGCTCTATTTCGGACTTCATCCGTGAGATGCTTTTGTGTAGAACAGATAGTTCCTGTAACTTTAATTTTCTAGAAAATCAGAGAATTCGAAGTTATTCACCTCATTCTTTTTGGTAATACTTGCTTCTAGGATTTCTAACTTCCATTTCCATTCTGTCTCTACTTTCGTTTTTATGACTGTAGGATCATTCTGAAATAGAAATTGCGAATTAGATTTACATTGAAAATTGAAGCCTACCAATTTCAGTTTTCTCTGCAATCTTTCTATTTCAGCACTCCGCAATCCTTGATCATTCCTCATGGTCTCAATCACCATTTCTCGCTTCTTCAACTTTTCCAAATTCTCTTTTTCAGTCATTTCCTTTTCTGTAACAAAAATTTTGTTCGCAGCATTCGAATAAGTCAGCTTACTTTTTAATTTCTCCTTCAGAGACGCAATTGTTTCCTCCTGTCGTTTTTTCTTTATCCATTCATCCACATCATTCTGTAATAAAAGGTTTTTTTTTCACTATTATTGCTGTCTGAAATGAACGGTAGGTTTGAAGGTTACGGTAGGTTTCTCCAAGCGGCAAGCCTACCGTAAAACCTGTAATAGAAGGGCCCCCACACTACCAACTTTGAGCTCAATTATCTCGATTACTGTAAAAGATATCAAAAATGTGTCAACTGATAAAATATTTGTGATATTGGAATAAACAATTTACTACATGACAAATTGTTAAAATCTTCCGAATGAACCTAGATAAATTTACTCAAAGTTGAAAGTTTGGGGGCCCTTCTATTACAGGTTTTAAGGTAAATGGCACATACTGAGAGGGGTGGAGACGCAGTCAGTTTTCTGTGCGTCTCAACCTTCTTTTCCTCAGACAGCTAAAATATTTCAGAAGGCTCCGGGACATTTCTTCACCGTTATAATTCAGGCTTTGGAAAGGTTTTGGACTATAAAAACAGGATTTTCAAAAATGATCGTTCTCTTATAGGGGACATTCTGAAATTCAAAACATTCCGAAACCTTACTTGAGAACATTTTCTACCAGAAAAATAATATTTGAAAACCCAAAAATAATTTTTGCAGTCTGAAATCTTTCCATTCGTCTATATTATCACGGCGGCAAAATTGCCCAGAGCCATTTTTACCGTAAAACATGTATTAAAAGAGACCCTTTAATAGAAGGGCCCCTCTAATAGAAGGACCCTCCGCGAGAGGCTTGGAAAATTAGAAGCCCCCTCCCCTGTAATAGAAGGGCCCCCGTAATAGAAGGGTCCTCTCTGAAGAAGGAGCTCTTTCAAAATGTATTTTGAAATTAAAAAAAATACGTTTTCAATGAAAAAAATTCCGGAAATTCAGAAATTTAATAGAAATTTGTTGAAAAACACTATTTTTCATGAAAATTTTAATCAATTTTGATGAAATTGTTAGATTTTCATAAATTTTGAACGAAAGTTCGTCGAGTATTTTGATGTGAAATTTCGGGAAAAAATGGCCCGAAAAATAAAAGGGCCCTCCGGAGTTACCATGGAACAAATAGAAGGCTCTTCTAATACAGGTTTTACGGTGAATATAAAAATACAGAAGACTTGATGCAGATGAGCCCAAAACAAAATTTAACCTTGTTGTCCTTTTTTTCCAAAATCTGCTTCAAACGATTCAATTCAGTTTTCAACTCTTCATTAGCATTACGCAAAGTTCGATTCGTCGTTCGAATTCTCTCCAATTCCACTCTAAAACTCAATTAAATAGTTTTCAAGCAAATTCCAAGAGCACTCACCTCAAATCTAACATTCTTTTCTCATCACTTGTTTCATTATTTCTTCTAAACGTCGATAACTCAGCTAACGCATCCTCTTTTATACTCTCACATGTTGCCAACAACTCCTTATTTGTCTTTGTTAATCTCTGAACTCTCGCTTTCAAATCTCGAATTTCTGACTTCTGTCGCATATTCTCTCCGTCCTTTGAATCGGATTTCGCCACTAATTCTTGCAGTAATTGCATTTCCTCTTCCTAAAACAAACTTTCCCATTCAATTCCAATGTAGGCGGTACATACCAATCTTCGCACTTTCTCACTTTTCGCAGACTTTGGAATTTCTTCCAATTCTTCCTCATTTATATTATTTAAATTTGAGTAAGCCGAATGAGGCGGAAGTGATATTTCCCATTCAGTTTGTACTTCTTCATCTAAAAATTCTTTTAGATTTTCTATCCTCCATGACTGTTCTTCTTCAGTGTTCTCCTCATCGATTTTCTTCTCTGCTTTTCTGATACTGGCTCTCATTTTCTTGATTTCCAATTCCAATTCTCTCACTTTTGTTTCAGAATTTTTCAGTCTCCCTTCAGTTTCTCTATCAGGAACTTCAATTTCCTGCTGCACGATCTCCACTTTTTCGATAACCTAAAAATTCAATAAAGCGAAATTATATTCCAACTATTTTCCAGAGATGTCCCGAATGAATTTTTTGAGAAACGGAATCCGGAATAAAACAAATTTCCGGACTCCGGAATACGGAATGAAACTAATTTTCCGGAATCCGAAATACGGAATCCGGAATGGAAAAAAGCCCGGAATCCGTATTCCGGAATGCGGAATCCAAAATTTTTAGTTCTTCAAATGGGCAGAAAAGTTCTAAAAACACATAGCGTGCTATATTTTTGCATATTTAGTCGCGGAAGTTCAAAAAAGTCAGAGAAATCTTGCAAATTGGAAAATATGCTTATTTTCCTATTTATACATCCGGAATGAAAATATTTCTCGGAACCCGGAATACGGAATCCGGAATCCGGAACCCGGAATGAAAAAAACACAGAATCCGGAATCCGGAATACGGACATCTCTGGTTCGTCCTACCTGAACACCTTCATCAATTTTCTGTCGTAAAAGCTTTTTGTATCTCTCAATTGCAATCTCCTTTAGTTCCAACTGTTCCTTATATCCCTGAACTGCCAATTGAGCTGATGTTTTGATCTCTTTTATTCTATTTTCGAATGCTTCCACATTGTCTTGAACAATGGTTCGAACCACAATTCTTCCGGAGGATTCTTCTGAGAAATTGAATTTCATTTTATAAAAATTCTTCATGGAAGAAATATACCGGATGATGAAGTTTCACTTCTTATGTCCATTTCATAATCACTTTCTTTATCCAAACTGTCTTCTCCGTTTTCAATATCCGCTGCGATAGAGATTGTTTCTGGCTTATGGTGTGATTCTCTTCTCCCCTAACAAAATTCAAAATTAAAGATTTTGTATCTGAAACTTCAGTCTTACAGCTTTGAAATCTTTCATTGTCTCTATTGTAGTAATCAATTCTAAATTCCATTTCCTCAATTCTCTCATTTCTTCATTCAATTCTGCCATTTTCTGCTCTTTCAAATGAACTAATCTCTCCAATTGTTTCGCTTTAGCACTCTGTTGGGATGCGTTAAAATATGCCATTTGCATTTGCTTTTCAACTACTTCGTTATTGTTCTGAGGTCTGATTTCATTCCCATCGAATGTGGATATCACTTCGCTGAAAATTAAGTTTGTTTCAGAAATCGAATGAAAAGAAAACTAACTTTGCGGTTCGAAGGGCTCGAATCCTGAGATTTTCTGTCTCCATCTCCTCCTTCATCTTGTCTATGTTTTCCATTTTTTGAGCTATTTCTGTTTCTTTCAACCGTGCGTTGAAGATATTTGAACGCAACATTTCCAACTGTTGTAGACTAACCGTTCCAATCGCCTGATCCCTGAGAATCTTATTCTCTCTTTGCAGAATATTTATCACATTGATAAGTGCCATTCTCTCTCGACGAAGTATTTCTGAATCCCTTCTCACTTCAACATCATTTCCTCTTTGTTTCTTTTTCTCTCTCAAATATTCTCTCTCGTTTTCTCTCAATTCTCGAATTGTATTCAGAAGACGTCGTTCTACGGCTCCCAGCACACTCTTCAAATCACTTTCGTTTTCCACGTCTTCTATGAATTTCTTGAGTTCTTCGTTTTCTGCTTGGAGCATTGCAGCTTCTTGATTCCAAAAGTCACTCTGATCGGATACGACGTCGATCATTTTCTGGAAAAAACATTGAAATCCGCTGTTCGATCCCTAGATTACCTTGAGCATATTCTCTCTTGCTTCCACTTCTGCTTCATTTGGATTCATTGAAAAAGCAGTCATTTCCTGTCTTGGAATATCTTCATTATTTGTTTCTACTCCAGTGCTTTCCTTCACCAATCTCTTATATTTTCTCATTAATTTATCATAATCTTCGGTCGGAACACTTTGCAAAAGTTTCGTTTGAAGTCTTCCGATTTCAATGGTGGTCGTATCATTTTCATACTTCAACCGATTTATAGTTCTTTGAGAAACCAGTTCCTTTTCTCTCAATGCTTCTCGAGATCTCCTTGTGGTCTCTTCTAATCTCTCAACTTTAGTTTTAAGAATTGTGCATTGTCTTGTGAATCTGAAAAAGGTTATTTTTATGAAAATATGTTTGAAAAACAATTTTAAAACCGGTTATTTGTTCTGGTATCAAAAAATCGGTGCTGTGGTCCCACAACGACAACTTTACGGTAGTTGTCGTTGTGGGACCTTCTGCCACGGTCTTCTCTTCTACAGCTCATTCGATTTTTTGTACCAGTCATGATTATCATGATTCATACCTCATTCTTTCCATCCGCTCTGTCACCAACATTCTCGTCGCTTCTCCCATTCTTCTTTCCATTTCCGTTCCTCCGACATTGATTGTTTCGACGAGTCGCTGAAGTTCAACCAACTCCGTACATTTCAATTCGTCCAAAGTTTTCTCTTCGACCATCATATTCTCTTTCTTCAACTTCTTAATTTCAGTATATGCCAACTCTAACTGAGTTTTCATTTCCTGATATGAGGTTTGGGTTGACTTCCAGGACTTTTGCATTTGAACCAATTGCTCGTCTTTGTATGAGGCTTCCTGAATTGATAAAGTTTGAAAAAAGGAAAGGAATTGTTCTTACCTCCAGAAGCTGCATTAGTTCATAATAGAGATTTGAAATCAAAACTGCTTGTTGTGCAATATCTGAATAATCTCCAGAATGTGAAGCTGGCTCAGCTCGTATAGTGGTTTTCGGAGTTGAAACTGTTTTTGGAGTTTCGACATCTTCCACAACTCTCGGCGAGGATTTTTTCGGAGATTCAACTTCTTCAGATTCAACTACTTTTCTAGATTCGTCTCTTTCTTTTTTTGAAATAAGAAGTATGTCGGGTCTTTTGATTTTTCTTGGGGTTGTTGGCTTGGCGATCGATTTATAAGATCCTTCTGCATACCTGAAAAAAATGATTGTTTTTGTTCAGATGACTATTCCTGACCTTCCTAACTCCACTTGGAGTAGCGTGCAGTGCTGCTGAAGTTTTCCAATCTGATCATCGCGGAATTTCAACTGCTTTTCTAGTCGTGCAATTTCTTCTCGAGCACTTCCGAACTTTGCCTTAAACAACCTATATTCCTTTTCAAATGTATTTTAAACTTACATCTTTCAATCGATTCAGCTCACTTAGAACATCCCCATTATTTTCGTCTTTCTGTTCAATCGTAAATTGCATTTCTTCTATTGTCTTCTTATGATTCTCTTTTTCTTCATTCAACTGTTCCATTGTATGCTCCAGCTGTAATATTCTCATCTGCAATGTCGTTGTCGGATCTTGTCCAGGCACTTCTGACATTGCTTCTCCGAATAAATTCCTTGCGAGTGTCGTTGCATCCACTAATTCCTTTTTCAACTGTTCCAGTTCCTGCTCCTTTTCTCCAGTTCGATCCTCCCTTATCATAGTTCTCATTCGAGCACATTCCTCCATCACCGCGCTCAACTCTTCCTGTAACGATCGAATTCTCTCATCGGCTCTTTCAATTTTCTCTTTTTGTTCAACTGCTTCCGTCATTCCAGTCGCATCTTCCAACGCCTTCATATCATTTTCATTTAGAAATTTCGGAGCAAGAAGATCAGCAACTTGAATCAAAAAGTTGATTTTATCTGTTGGTTTTCCAGTCAACATGTTCTCAGCAGCAGAAATACACTGATTCACATGCTCGACAAGTTCTTCAGGAAGCACTTGGGTCAACCGTCGATTTTGATTGTAAAGCTCTTCGATTCTTAACTGGCTGATTTCCAATTTATTTGTCATCTCGGTGTATCTGAAATGTTTCAAAAATTTGAATAGTTGAGCCAAAGTTTTCTTACCTGAGAGCACTTTGTTCAATGATTCTTGTTGCTTCTTCCAGAGCATCACTAACTCGATCTATTTCTTCTCTCAATTCCTCATTCTGGGTCACTACAGCCTAAACTTCTATTTTCAAAAATTCGAATGTATTTAAATTCCAAACAAACCTGCATTTGTCTACTTATAGTCAGCACTTGCTCATTCCTCAATTTCAGCTTTTTGCTTTCCCAATCTCCTCCTGTGTCTTCAGTTTTGGCGGATATACGGCGGTTTAGTTCTCGAATTGTATCTTCTAATTGAGCTTTCTGAAAAAGTTTCTAGATTATTTTTTAAAGTTGTAGTTCAAAACTAACATGATCAGAAAGTGCATCTCTTTCTCTTGTAAGAGTGTCCACTCGAGATGCCAAATTCTCGAATCGATCTCTTTGATCTGCCATTTCTCTATCTCTATCTCTATTCAATTGCTGCAACTGCCTATTTTCCTCCTTCAAACTGTCGATTTGTGCCCGAAACGCTTCTGTTGAATCTCCAATTTCTGCTTTCGAAGTTATTCGATCTCTCAATGCTTCTATTTCTGAATTCAACGCAGTTTTCTGTTCTTCCCATTGATCTTCTTTTTCTGCCATTGTAACTGCTTCGTGTTCCGCTACATCTCGTAATTCTTCTGCTGCCGTGAATCCAAAACTCATCAAATACTTTGCTCCATTATAAAGTAGTTCTATTTCTTGCGGCGATTCGGAGCCCTCGATTTCATACTGTAGATGTACCTTATTTAGAGCCAGAATTTAAACAAAGTATAACTTACATCGACCAACTTATCGTACCACGCTCTCGCTTCATCTTCTGTTGATCCTTCCTTCTGCAGAAATTCTTCTAATTGTGGATAGTTTATAACGGCAGTTTGGGACATCAGTACATGTATATTACACTTTCCCAAGGCAAGGAAAGACGTAAGAAATATCCAAAGTCGGTTGTCAAGGAAACCAGAGAGATGAGAAAAGGAAAAGAAAGGGGAAAAGAGAGAAGGGACTACGAAACGTTTTGCACGGGCAGAGCACGAATTTCTTGGAAGAGGGGGAAAGGGCAAAATGAGGGAATAGGATTAGAAATAAAAACTAGTCTAGAGATTTTGGTTGAGAGGTGTGAGATATGTTTTCAAATGATCCCAAACTGATTTTCTAGAAGAATTATATAGACGTCTTTACATTTAAAATTTTAATTTAGGAACTAGAGAAAAAATTGCTTTCAACTATTGTTCTTTGAGACTCTCAAACCACCCTGAAAAAATTTAATTTTGTAGCTTAAACATTTTTGACCAACATCTTTCAATAAAACTCACAAGTAAGATGAGGTTGATGAAAAGCGTACAAACGGCGGACCGTCAGCGGCTGAAGATCTAAGAGATATTTTCATCAAAAACATTGTTGTTTTTTTCATTATGGCCCAATTACTGATGATTGCCTTTTATCCTTTTTGTTCCAAAGTTTGACCCCATTTGCTTAAAGGTACAAGTTAAAGCCAATTCCTAAATCTTCAGCCGCTGACGGTCCGCGGTTTGTCCGCTTTTCAGCAACCCCGTCTTACCTGGGGATGGATCGAAATAGCATGTGAAAAGATTGCAATTTAGCATTTATTTATTCCTAATAAAATTGAATTTTTTTTGCAAACTTCAGTGTGTTCTTTTTTAGACACTAATATACTCTTGTCGACCCACAACGGTAAATACATCATGCCAATTTTCGATATCGTGACCAAATATCCACATCGCTTGATCCGCTTGCCCAAACATGTATTCTCTCAATCTGTGTCTCTATATACAATCCTAAATCAAACTCTCAACTACTTTTTTGGTTTTTTTTTCTTTTCTTCTTGCACTCAATTTTTGCTCGTTTTATCATTGAAAAATAACTGATAACCCTAAATTCTCCACCATCAATTTTTCTTTTTTATTGACTCTCTTTTTTCTTGTTCGCGCACTCAGTTCAGTCAATTTTCTTTCCCTTTTCCCTTTCTGCCTCTTGTTCGTTTCTCTCTTCTCTCCGTTTCTTCTCATCACACACTATTTCTCTTACTCCTTCTTGAAAACTGCGCTACAATCGATTGGAGCATCTTGCTATCTGAATGGTTTAAAAAAGAATACTATATTTGGTCTCCATTTCTCTCATCTTTATTCTATTTCCCGCATCGATTTGCAAACGATCTGCGTCTCTCTTTCGAAGTTTGGAGATCCATTCGTACAGATATTTATTGCCGTTTTTCCCCCATCTGACAACACTTTCTGTTTCATGGATCTAAGGAAAAGGCTACGAAGAGATCCAGAATCTGGAGATGTCAGGATTAAAAAATACACATTCGGAATGTTTTGAATACGTTCTATTCTATATTTTTAGATGTGAAAAGTTTTCAATTTACCCTAGAAAAAACATCATACTTTAACACAACAGAACCTGAACAATACCAAGCAAAAATATGTGAAATTGTTTTTGTCATAAAAATATTTTTCCGATTCTGAACAATGTTTTTTTATTACATTCAAGTTTAGTACGATACTATCTAAAATTACTTCCGTCTATCTTCATAAACCATCTATTTTGCTGCTTTCTCTTCCTCGCACGCGTATTCATTATCATTATCGACCTACTCTCTATATGGTCTTTCTATTTTCCTTCTTATCTTTTCTGCAAAACGAATCTTTCCCTAAATATCTACATATAATTAATCCTCACCATTTTTCCTTTTTTTTTTCTTTTTATCTTTCTAATTTTTCTTCCACTTTTCAATCTGTCAACTGCTCCATTCTCAAGTTCTCATCTCATTCTCTCTCTTTTTTTTTGCAGAACTCATCCAATTGACACTTCTCTTCTCTATTTTATTCCCCAACGAATCAGCGAATGGAGGGGAAAGATTGAGAGGCAGCCGAGAGAGAAAAAGATAAAAGTGAGGTGGCACTTTTTGTTAACCTAATTCCAATTCCGAATTTCAGTCATCTGTTAATGAGATTCCCTTCTGCTTTTTCATCTTCCACCGCCCATTTGCTTGAATCATCGCCAATTGACGACGATCCGGGTCCATCTGAATCGATTGCACTACAGACACGGGTACCAAGTCAGACTGCAGAGAAGCTTGTTGCCGAAATAAGTGACGATAGTGAAGACGAAGAAGAAGAACTTCACTTTAGAACAGTCAACGATACGAATCCAATTCTAACATATCGAGAAATGGTTCTACGAATCGCTTTAATAGCAATGCTTTATTATCCACTGTCCATTGGACTCACTTTTTATCAAAAGTGGTTTATAAAGGTGAGATTTTTTGCAGAAATTGGATGCACAGGTAATGGGGCATTGCCAAAAAAAGCTAAATAACAGCTGAAAAGGCAAAGGAGCACCGACGGGCCGTCGACGCACTGTTGACGGACAATTGGAACCTCTTGCGATACCAACTTGAAATTTCCGATTGGAAATCAGCCAGAAAACAGTATTTCATGCTTGCAATAAATCCTAGAAAGCTAACTTTCCTCACATCAGACAATCTCAAAAAGTAGAACGACTGCTAAACCGCATTTGAAAAGGCTCTGACTGGCCAAGGGCCGGTGGTTGGCGGACCAAGTTTCTGCAGAATGGAAAATTATGTTGAAAAAATGTTTTTCTTTCGATACAGCATGAAAGTCATAAGTCTACAAAAAATGCATATGTCGTTTTTTTTCAAAACCTGGAACTTCCTTATTCATCTCAATATCAGAAATTTTACTTTTCAGAACTACAAGTTGCCGTTACTTGTTGTCAGTGGTCATTATATTCTCAAGTATCTGTTTGCTGTAATAATCCGATTTATTTATGAATGCGTACGAGCCCCTCGAATGCGAGTTTCGTTACGAGATCAAATGAGATGGCTTGCTCCGATTGGAATATGCGCATCCATGGATATTGGTCTATCGAATTGGGCATTAGAATACGTTACTGTCAGTCTATATACAATGGCAAAATCATCTTCAATCCTATTTATTGTTGCTTTTTCGCTACTTCTTCGATTGGAAAGATGGCGTAATTCATTGGGTTTTGAGACGGGATTAATTGCTGCTGGTCTATTCTTATTCACATGGAAATCATCTCAACTCGATTTGACTGGTCTTCTCCTAGTAGAATTGGCAGCCGCGTGCACTGGAATCCGATGGACCGTATCGCAGTTAGTGATGCAGAGAGACGACTCAGCAGTCAGACATCCATTGGACATGGTTGCTCATGTTCAACCGTGGATGATGATTCCAATTATTCCAATGATTTGGCTGTTCGAAGGAGCTGAAATCAACTGGAATTCAGTGTTTTCGTTCCAAGGCCACTATGATCCTTGGTTGGTGGTTGGGTTAATTTCTGGTGGAGGATTACTCGCGTTTTGTATGGAAATCAGTGGTGAGTTTATATTTTTGCTACTCGTTGGACTCCAAAACTATCCCATATTCAGAGTACCTCCTACTTGTGAACACTTCTGGAATCACTCTCAACATCTTTGGAATAGTAAAAGAAGTGGCGACACTCCTTCTTGCTCATCTAATCAACAAAGACAAACTAACTGAATTGAACATATGTGGTTTGGTTCTTTGTCTCTCTGGAATGCTTCTTCATGGAATGAACAAACGACGACAAAGGTTTGAATTCCTTATTATTGTTTTAGTTTCATTTATGATTTCGTGCAGGATGAGTCGCAGTCTCGTTGACACTGACCACCAGTACTCCCTTCTTTCCAAATCAGTCTGATATCTTTATTTTGATTGATCTACCGTAAGAAATCTAATGCTCGTCGTCGTTCTTTGTTGTCCTTTGTCGCTTTTACCTTCTCCGTTCAGTTGACACTTTCAATGATAGCTAGAACTAACTTCCCAATAGTTAGTTTCCAATAGCCATCGTTAGATTAATTAATTTTCTCAGTTCTAAAAAATACATAGTTGTCACTTGCACAATTCTGATTTCCTCTAAGAGCATGGAAGTACTTTCCGCTCTTTTGTGTTATTCTGGCAAAGAAAAATCCGGACCTGTGGAAGAGAATCGTCCTTGGCCGTGGCCGAAGTTTACCACAACGATAACTACAGTAACCTAAAAATATGTTCATTTTCAGATTTTATTATCTCGATGTCACATTTTTTAGTTTGCAAATTTTCTAGAGAAAATTAACAAAAAACCTTTAAAAAGCGGAAAATAAGAATATTTTAGGTTACTGTAGTTTTCGTTGTGGGACCTTCAGCCACAGCCATCGGCGTTTTTCTTCCATCGCTTCAGTGTTTTGTACCAGACTAGTAATTGAAAGTTTTCTAATAATTTTTTATTGGATCACTAGAAAAACAAATTTGAGCTACAGCGAGGTACAAAGTGGTTCAGGGAATAAAATGTTCCTGGGTAAATCGTAGCTTCTGTAAAGCTCAATTGTAAAATTGATTTTCAAATTTTTGTCCACTTTATTAAGGTAAAACATTTTTGGTCCCCTAAATTATATTATATCTATCAAAGTATAGCAATGGATTCTATTGTTGAGATCAACATCTTGAGAAGTAGAAGCTCTCCACGTCCATTCTGCGACTTTTCCTATTTGTCATTCTCCTATTAAAAAGAAATTCAAAGTAATATTACAGGACACATCGCCCTCTCCCATCGTGTTCAACGACATCAAGAAGCGAAGATTCTCGGAAATTATTGTCTTCCGAAGAACTGGAAGCATGAGTTGTTGCCAGTTGTTTCCTTGTTTAATATCGGGTTCCACAATAAATGTTTATTTGTTCTTGTCAACGTGCTCAAAAATTCATACAATCGACCCGCGTTTCCATGGGAAGGAAACCTAATAAATGAAACTACTTCTAAAAAAAGTGGAACAGCGGAATATAATAGGAGCCATTTATCACAGAAGACTAATACATAAAAAGAGATGGAAAAAGGTCGATGAGACGAGTAAATAATATAAACCCTTTGAAGAATCAGAACGAATGTGTTTGATTAAATTGATACAAGAAGAAGAAAAGTTTCAAAACATCCCAGTGGTTCTTATTTCATGAAAAGGCAAAATAAGCGACCGCTAACCTGCGAAAGCATTTCCCAGTTGCCGGCAGAAAAAGAAAAGCAACAAATGAACTTCCCGTATATGTACAAAAAAATAACTACAGGGTCGTTGACACACTAAAACATCCCAGGAAGATGACATAAAATGAAACGAAAGAAATACGCGTTTCAAGCTTTGAAAATTATGAATGGAATTGTAATTTTGATAAACTGTGTTTCCAGGTTCAAACTCATTTCCATTCATAGTCATCTTCTAAAGCTAATAAAACACATTTAAAACTGTATCACATTGGTGCTTGGAACAATAGCAAGAAAAAAAAGAGATGGTGCATGTTTAAATTGTGAGGAAAATAGAAACCAATAAAAAAGGGAACGAAAACTATTGAGGACGCGGGGAGAAGAAATGTACCGGTTTCGAGTTGATTACAGATTGCACGTACACGCATTGTGACCTGAACAGAAACATTATCAAGGAGGAGTTCGATTTGTATTTGGACATACTCAAAGATTTATTTGCTGAAAGCTTCGAAAACGGCCCACATTACATCGTTTCCCTTCTTTTCGGCTTGCTGGTCGTAATCAAGATCAAGCAGACTACGCACTCGTTTCATAGCAACCTGTAAACGGTTTTTAGTGAATTGGTTTCCGGTGGATTCTTCATACCTCATAATCTTGATCCGAAAGTGGTGCAAATGCGTTTTCAAGAACATCACTAGCATGAGCCAGAACAATCAACGACAACATTTTTTTATCCATTCGATGCACATCATTGGTCCACTTTCCAAGCACTGATTCTTGCACTTCTTTGATCAACTTAGTTTTTTGGTTTCCATCGGAAAGTGGATGCGTTGTAATTTCAAAAAGAAGGAAATTCTGCTTATCGGTGGTCAAAACACCCTTCTCAACGAGATTCTTGGCAAGACGTTCGCGCACGTTTCGCAATTGATAACGCAGTTTCAATGGATTCCATGTTTCTCCAGATAAGTACTCGATCCAACTGGTCACAGTCTCCGGTGGATTGGTTTCTTTCATGTGGCGAAGGGCTTCGTCCAAAATGACGTCACCAGTTGGCTCACTGCTTTTCACAGTAACCTGTAATACTGCTTGTTCGTGTGGCGAAATAAGAAATCAATATTATATAGTTTTTTAATTGTACTTGATCAACCTACTTTTCTATTGAGAAGATTTTTGCGTCTCATTCCACCACCTTCAAGCTGAATACGTCCCCGCAAAACCAACTCCACCAGAACGCATCCTCGTAGTCCTGAGGATATGCAGTCATTCCAGAAAGAAGTATAGCCTTCACGATCTTTTAATCCAAGCAGAAGAATCTGCTCCATCAACGTCAATCGCGTTCCCTTATCATTGTCTTCTTGATCAGACGAATGTGCCGAATCACCACTTGCTTCTTCTGGTTTTTCAGCGACTGGCTGAAATCAAATCATGTTTTTATTCTGAATCCACTTTTCAAAACAACCTCTTCAGTCTTTTTGCGTCTCTGAACCAGCTGACCTTCCGACATATCCGATTAATACAAAATCTATTAGAACGAGTTCAGCAACTGGGAACAAATTTGTTGAACCAAAACCTCTGAAATAATATTTTAAATAACCCAATCTTCGTTTCAGCGTGCGTCGATATACGTAAATTCAACCGTAACGTAATCTAGATTCGAAATTTTTCCTCAAGCTTCAGCGAAAAACATTCAAAATCGGATGGCTAGGAATTGAATAAGCCTGCAAGCAGATCTTATCTTTCAGAACCAGTCTCTGGAAGTGGAGCCTTTGGAAGATTTCGAATGATGATAGACTTTTGAGACAACGATGATGCGTATATAGGATAATAAAGAAAGGCGTCCGGTGCGATGAAAGTTCATGAATTTTATGGATTATTAATGTTGCATAATGATATAGATATTGGGTGGACTACCGGATATGAATCAAAAAGTTAAATCGATCAATGATGTCCGTCGTGTTATAATTCTGATACCTTTACTTGAATAAACGAAAAAGCGAAACCACAAAGTCAACAATGTCAGGGAAACGTTTCCAAGTGGGGAAAAAGAGAAAAAAGCGGTCTTCGTCTTTGTTTGGACAGCTTTTCAGACGCAGCCTAACAGGCATATTTCCAGATAACATGTGGAATGAACATAATTTTGAGCATTGAGAACACATGTGAAAAGCTTCAAAATAGTACTAAGAAAATGTCATGATTGTACAATATCAAGTCGGGAGGCATCTTATCAGAGGGCGTTGTTAATAAAATTTTATCTAGGAAATGGAAGGAGAAGGGAAAGAAGAGCTTAAAGAAATGTGGTAATCGATTGACTAAAATCAAAATTACTGAAAAGACACGACTTGTGTTATATATGAATAATGTAATGAATCGTTGGACAGGGACGAGGCGAAAGCGAAGTATCGGGAGGGGAGCGCTTCGATTGGAAATACGACCGAAAGAGAGGCGAGAAATGAGAGGCACGAGAGAAGAAACGTGGCGATTTAGAGAACAGACACCCGTGCGAGAGGCGAGTGAGAAACGGGTGAGGCAGAGAAACTAGGGACGAGCCGGGTGATAGAGACCGGAGGAGAAAAGAGAAACACGATGACGAAGCGGAAGACATGCTAGGCGGAGAAATTCATGTGAGGAAAAATGAAAGTACTCTATTCAGCACTGTAATATAAAATCAGCAATTTCATCAAAATGAGTGCTGAGAAGGGGGGGAATCCCTCATGGACGCCAGTGAAATCTCTATCTTCAGTAATCTCCTGGACTGGGGAGACTGGCCCAGGAATTACAAGATTATTTGAAGTCCAAAAACCGGAGAAAACAATTACAAACCTAGATAACGTATCATCAAGTTATTTCAGAAAGCATGAAACTATTTAATTAAGAAAAATCAATTAGTATCGCGGAAAACGAAATGCATTGAATAAAGCAATACGATCACAACAAAGTTAAAATTATTTTTTTAAAAACTCTGTATTTTGTAAATATTTGAGGAACAAGGAAAAGACACGATACAGAGCAGTGGGATGTCTACAGTAACCCCTCTTGATCTAATTCACCTAAACATTTATTGTCGAATTAAAAAAAGTGGGACCCACTTGGGTTCAAGTAGACCCCGCAAATTCCAGGGAAAGAAAAAACCGGGGAAAAAAATCGGGGAAAAGTGNNCGGAGNNGGGGGCGGAGCCTAAAATGCAACCCTGGCACGGNTTTGCCACACGGNTTTTCTGCACATTTGGACACGGCCATGAGGGGCGGAGCCTAAATTGCAACCCTGGCACGGTTTTGCCGCAAGGTTTTTCTCGACTCCGCCCACTTTCCCCGGTTTTTTTCCCCGATTTTTTTCCCCGGAATTTGCGGGGTCTCGGGTTCAAGCGAGGGTGTCAGAAAAAGCGCCCCAGCAAACTCGTAGGCCAGAAGAAATTTAATAATTTTAAAATGAACGCGGGTTTGAACTAGATCATGATCTCTTTCTTGAAAATCAACAGGTTGCAACGCGCGTATTCTCGCTCATCCTTTAAAACTGTGATACTCAGCCAACGAAGTTCGGCAGCGAATTGAGAATTTTTGAAAAATTTACTGGGGCACGACTCCCTTGCTTGAACCCAAGTGGGGACCTAAAAATTTGAAAGGCGTAGCTTTTTTTGATCAAAGAAAAAGTGCGACAAAAACGTAATATTTCAGATTTTCTCCTCGTTCGAGCTACTTTCGCAATTAAGTTCGGTTTTTTTGATGAAAAACAGATTCTAGAGATGCTAGCGATCATTTTCATACCAAGAAATCTAAATTTTGTCCAGAAAATCCCACTAAATTCACAGAAATAAGTTTCGTTTATTACCGTAGTGTTTCTGGGGCAAGGCCTCGAAAATTGACCGGGAAGCCGCCCGCGAAATTTTCCAGGTACCACTTTTTTTTAATTTGACAATAGCTTTCGACTCTCGAACTCGCGAGCTTATGAGATAATTTTATAGCAGAACTACTTAAAATCACATTAAAAAGATCAAGAGCATCAGAAATAGACAACAAGTAACATCGAATTAAACCTTCGTCTTGCGATCGGAAAGAAAACCCCATCTTCCAATCGTGCATTCTTTCCGTGCGGTGTTTGCAGACGCAGCATTCAAACCCATTTTGTGTTCCAATCGACATTGTTATGTGTTCACCTATAAACTGAAATGAAACAACGAGAAATTTTGGACGAGCGACGAAGGCAACTGACATATTTCACATCTTGTAATGCTGGAACATGTCAATGTCGCGGGTTCCGACCAGTCTTGAGTAATGAAGAGGAGGTGTGTTGTATTTATTCAATTCTTAAATGTTCTATCTAGTTTTTCAGACAGTTGAACGAAGAGCTACAAGAGCTGAGCGCGAAAATGACTACGCACCAATGACCAGAGATTTGGAGTCTTTAGCATCAGAAGAAATTATAGAATGTAGAACATGTGGACATTCGATTTGTGGGTTGAATGATTAAAAGAGCATGAGTTAAATTTTACATTATTCAGCATTCCATGCGGAACCAATAAAAACGTTGTCAGAAGAAGAGATTGACACTTATACAGATAGAATAGCTGATCTTCAGACATGTTGCTCAGAACTCAGTGAAATCGATCCTACTAACGAATCACTTCAGGTCAGTTCATAAGAGTAGATTTTCCGGATTTTATAATTTCAGACGTTATATATCACTATGCAAATGCTTCTGAAATCTCTGCGCACGTTGACACCCATAGAAGTTCCTTTCATTGGGAAGCCTAACTTCGAGCCCGACTCATTTAGCCCGTTCATTCTTGTCAAAAAATTCATTGCTTCTCGGCCTGTGGACAATGCGTAAGAAGTCCAACTATGGATATAAGGAAATAGCCAATTTTTTTCAGAGAAAAACATAGACTTGCCGAAATCGGAACTTTATTCCTCACGGAAATGAACCATTGGCGCCTGGAAAGTTTCGAAAACTTAGCTAGCAACTGTAAGTTTCTTCCTAATACAATTTCCAACAACGAATATTATAGAAAGCATTGTAATTTTAAAAAGTTACATGTGAAATTTTTAGTGAGCGAACAACTGGAGCAGGGAAGATACAGGATGATGTTCACTCGGTTGGACTACTACGTCAATATGCCATCAAAATACCTGACATTCAAGCAGTACCAGGTATTTTCGAATTGTTCCAATATGGCCATTTGATTGAATAATCCTAACCGACTTCGAAATTGGTGAAATCTTATCTTTCGACGAAAACCGTTGATTTTTAAATTGAAAATTCGATAAAACAGGAGAGGAATTCCTTTAAAAAAAGGAGAAACGAAAAAAACGAATTATTGAAATTTGAATTGTGCAAACACCGGCACAAAATAATGAACAAGGCTTCCTACAGTAACCTCCCGAAAATGTGCCTCTTCCTGTATCTTCTATTTGAGATATCTATTTTATGATACTGAACCAGTTCCAGAAAAAAATTCTGTCATAATACCGAAATTCACAAAAAGGTGATTAGTTTTTCATCAGTTGTCCACTATCTTGTATGTGGTGTCAGTTATTTTTCAATCATATTTGATAGTATATTTTCTTTTACAGACTGTGGACATCTTCGGTGAAAAATTCGCACTCACTTTCTGCGACTATTTGATCAACGCACTGAATTCAGAAGGATACTCTCCGTTCGGTATCTCAGAAAGTGATTTGGAAGAAAGCTCAGAGGACTTGACGACGTTTGCGACCGAGTTGAAATCCTGGATAGAACTGCAAAATTTTACCGATGACTCTTACCCTTCTTCGTCTCAACGCCGAAAGGATTCGTCCGTCTCCATGGAAGATTTACAGTTGACGTACGTGAAACGTAAGAAGCCCACCGATCATTCAGAAAGTGCGTCTTCTCGAGAGTCCACGACGTCTCCGGTAAACGACGAATCGGAGGAGCCTCTGAAAAAGAAAAAAGATCGGTCATCTTCGCAGCCATCAACGGCGAACTCAACAAAGAAATCACCCGAAACCGACGAATCGATGGCAGTTGTACGATCATTAATCCGTGCGATAAAGCTGGAGAGTGACATGGATGCTATGGAGCCGAAAACAAAAGCCGACTTTGAAGAATTGAATAAAGAAGTATCGCGTGGATTGGGTGCACTTCGTGATGAGGAGAGTGGGCTCATCGAGTTCAGAGTAATTGGAAATGACTTGGACCCATTCCAAGACCACGAGCAACTCGCTCAACTCGTAGAACTTCAGAATTTGTTCGGAGCACAGCTTCCGAAGATGCCAAAGGATTATGTCACACGTCTTATCTTTGATTCTCGTCACTTGAATATGGTAATTTTGAAACGAGATGTCGGAGTGATCGGTGGAATTTGCTTCCGACCATTCACAAATCGAGGATTTGTAGAAATAGTTTTCTGTGCCATAACAGCACAAGAGCAAGTGAAAGGGTACGGTACCCATCTGATGAATCATTGCAAGGACTACATGATCAAAAACAAAATTTATCACATGCTAACCTTCGCAGATGAGTTTGCCATCGGATACTTCACGTACGTTTCTGGGTGAATGTTCTCTAGCTCAACACTTTCTAAATTTCAGAAAACAAGGATTTTCTGATAAACTTGAAATCAAGCCTACTGTATATCATGGTTGGATTAAAGAATACGAAGGTGCTACCTTGATGGGTTGCCATTTGCATCCACAGTAAGAGATTTTACATCGCCGTTCTAGATCAATTTTCTTAATTTAGAATTTCCTACATCAAGTTCCCAGATTTTTCAAAGGGCATTCAAGCTCTGCACATTGGATACAAGATGGAGAACGGTGCAGAGTGTAGAGGTCGAGTATTCGGAGGACTCGAGCATATATTCCGAGAGAGTGAGTTTCCTTTAAAGATCATCCGAAACTGCATTGAGTTTCTAGGTGCTTCAGGTTTCATTGAACTACGGAAAATTCCCGGAACAGACTCTCTGAAAATGAATAAGAAGACTTGCTATCAACTCGACGAGCTGGACGATACACTCGACACACGGATCGTGTCGATCTTGAAAAAACTGACAGCTGATAAAAATGCATGGCCTTTTTTGAAGCCTGTAGATAAACATGAAGTTCCCGATTACTACGCCTACATAAAGCACCCTATCGACTTCAAAACTATTCAGGAAAAATTCAGAAGGAAATATTATGCTCATGTAAGCTCATTTTGTGTTCACTGAGTTAACCAATCTATCTGTTTTTTCAGCAACACCTGTTCATAGCTGATCTGACAAGAATGTTCCAAAACTGCTACTCCTTCAACGGCATCGACACAATTTACTATAAACTGGCATATAAATTAAACGAGGTAGCCTTGAAGCTACTAAAATCGGCGTTTCCAGAAAGTTCACTCTATCCAGAGCTTCCTGAGCGCCCATCTAATTAATTGCACCCTATAATGTTTCTATATATATATATATATATATATAACAGTTCATCCTGTATCATAAAATAATGCCTGCTGATCTCCCTATACTTGCACACATATTTATTTACTTTTTTAAATGCTTGAAAATGAATCAATTTTATCAAACAATGTGGAAAAAAGAGACCGAATACGAAAAGGAAACAGAGCAATTTGTTCCTCTATATACAAAAAACCAATATGGCCTATTATTGAAAACAGATTAAATTTAAAATTGAATAGTCTAAACTGCAATCATGTGACATAGATTGCATGTTTTTGCACAATCACGAATCATGGTAGATTGGGAAACTCTGAAAAATGGAATTATGAGAAAAATTACAAAAAAACAAGCCAACCTGCAAACGTTAGGAGACGACTGAAGCCAATAAGCACAACCAGCTAGACGATCAGCACATTTCTCCTCACGAATACGGTTCAGTTCACTCTCCCGGACTGAAAAACAAACACCAATTTTCGTTATTTATTTTTTTATTATTCTGGCACAAAAAAATCGGGAGCTGTGGAAGAGGAAAGCCGATGGCCGGGTTCGAAGGTCCCACAACGACAACTACAGTAACCAAAAAAATCTTTTTTATTTCCGAGTTATTTTCTCGCTTTTTGTATGCGTTTTTAGCCAATTTTTACTGTCAAAAATTTAAAATTTTCGACTTTTTCAAGGAAAAACGAGAGAAAAATCGGCGATAATCAGTAAACAACGATGAAATAAATCCTCATAATGAAAGTTTTTTAGGTTACAGGAGTTTGTCGTTGTGGGATCCTCGACCACTGCCACCGGCGTTTTTCTTCCACAGCTTCGATTTTTCATACCATTATAAAATTTTTATTACTTTTTAAATACAGTAAGCATGAGATTTCTCGCTCTGATATATGACTACAAACTACAGTCATGCGTATTAGGTTTGACTGATTAATACCAACTTTTCTCATGAGACTCGCTGTGTCTCCGCTTACGATTTTTCGGTTCCGGCGTACTTGTTCTTAAGAAAAATAATAAGTTTTAGAGCTTCTGATTAAAACAATGTGAAAGTCAAAAATTGCATACCTCGCATTCTCTGGAGTCAAGAATCTGGAGTCCAAAGTCTGGACGGCATAATTCTTACTGATTAAACAAACTTACTTCTTGACGACTTCCACTGGTTTGCCACCTCATCCAAAACTACAGTAACCCCTGCCCATGTTTCTTTTGCAGTTGGAACCAGCTGATTCTTATCAAGAACGAATCCGTTCCACTCTGAAATCAGCTTTGAAACATTTACAACTGAAACGAAAAGGACCTATGATACCTTCGTATCCGGGTCTTAGCTCGATTGTGTATGAGTATTTGATCTTCAATGTTTCCTTAGCCCAATCTGTTGATCCACCCGAGAACGCATCTGAAATTGATAAACTGTTTTGATTTTTCTATTTTAATGAGCTCACAGATGATTTCAGGTCCAGTCCCATGGCGATACTTTGTTCCGTACATTCGACCAAGTTCTTGAACTGCCTTCGCAGCGACTCTTCTCTATAATCGAATAAACTCTTAACTTCAAGATACTCAAATTAGTAAATACCCAGACAAATTATTTAACATTTTAATTTTTCAACTTCAGGTTAAGAATTTCTCTAGATATTCTTCAAAAAACCGAAACTTACAGTCTCTTCAATATCTGGAGCGTAGGTAAACTTTCTGTGGGAATATGAGTAAATCCACAATTGTGAATAGGAATGAAGAGTGATGTATGCTTCCAAACGTCCTTTCAGAGAAGTCAAAAACTGAGCATATGCACTGAGAAAAATAATTTAAAGTACGTATATTTACAGTAAAAACTGCGATAGAAGGGCACCCTAACTTTTGACTTTGAGCCAATTTATCTAGGTTCTTATCAATGATATAAAAAAGTTGTCAACTAAAAAAATTATTTATCATATTATCAGAAGTGTTTTGTCAGTTTACACATTTTTGATACCCTATATAAGAATTTAGCTAATTGGTATCTAACTTGAAAGAATGGGGGCCCTCCTATTACAGGTTTTACGGTAGTTCTCGTAAAACTCACTTGGATTCCGGCTCACTAAACGCAGAGGGCCCGTGATAGATTTCCGAGCATGGATATCTAGATGCTCCAATCTCGGAGAAACGAAAATCAAAGTTTCTATTTAGGTCTACGCCCATACAACAAGAATTGCGAACACCATCGAAAGCACAAGCCTTTGGAGACCTAGATTTTCTCCACATTCTCGCCTGCAAAAAGTTGAAATTGTTTTGCGTTATTCAAACAAAAACCTACTCTTGGGTTGGTTTTGTCGGTTCTGGTGTATTCATATCCATCTGGATTCAATACTGGAATGATGTACAAAACGATATTGTCAAGATAGTTTTGAATTTGTGGATCTGTTTCTCTACTGTTAACGATCTGAAAATCGAGAATTTCAAAACTTTCAAATTTGAAATTACTCACTAAGTTGATGAAGTAAGATGCTGTATGAATAGCTGCCCATTCTCGTGCATGAATTCCAGCATCAATCACAACAACCTTCTTATCTGGTGTATCTTTTCCAAACTTCAACCCTAAAATGTCCCTTCCTTCAACAGTTGTACCAACTTTAATCAGTTGGGCAATATCTGGCATGTTCTCGGCAATTCTTTGCAGCCATGTTGAAATGACGGAATATGAATAGTATTCACCCATTCTAGAAAGCTTAACTTCGGTTTTTAAAATTGAAAGAATGACCAACCGAAGTCTCGAGTGGAATCCAACATCATCATGCAAACGTTTCAAAAATACATCATCATCTGTGATATGTGTTGAGAGATTTCCTTCTTTTTCAATCAAAAGTTTTTGCAAATCTTCAATCGCAACTTGGAACGTATATCCATGTTTTTCCAAGTATCCTTGAAACTGATCTGTGTGTTCTGGAGCCACCATAATATCCACTGTTCCATTCACAACACTTGGAGCATGCCAGAAGTCTGCTCGATCTGTGTCAGCAGTTTCAAAAAGTCGAATCATTTGAAGAAGTTGTTGATTGGTAGTCGGAAGTACTCGGAACACTTTGAATCCACTAGCATTATCTGCAGAATGACACGTGGCACTCCAAAATGTGATGACTAGAATCACCCGTAGAATCATCTGAAACGACAAAAATCTGAACAGCAAAGAACGACGGTCTTCGGTGAAGAGAAGCGTCTGGGAGGAAGTAACATAGTGATACGATTAGCTGAATGGTTTGCCATTCGGGGGTAATGTACGAAGGTATGAAGAGTCTTCAATGAAGACGTCGCATTACAACAAACGTCACCGTGTCTCTGAAGGTTGAAAAGAAAAGAGAAATTAGGTAAGAAAAAAGAGACCAAGAGGAGGAGTAGAAGAAGGAGGAGAGGCATTGTAAGAAGGTGTTCGATTCAGATTAGGCATCTTACTATTTATGAAGATATCACATTACACCACGGTGAATTCGTTCTTGTCTTGTTGTTAGAACAGATTTTTTCAGAACGTTGTTGATATAGTATTCTCGAGTCGTGTAGGAATGAAATTGAGATTTTACGATATTCTCACTACAGGCGTTTCTGACAAAGTTCCTGTAAGAGATACCAAAAACTCAACTGGGAGAACCTTGTTATTATTTGTATTTAAAGGAGAGGGGGGGGGGGCATAAAAGAATAATTTTCTCGATAATTCGTTCATACAAATTTATTAAGGAGTTGAACTTGTAGGAACTTCCTCTAGAGATGCTGCGCCGCTAGCTACGGTAGAGCTGATCGACGATGGGTGAGGTGGACGAACGATTGTACCCAGAGCGAACACTAATCATCGTACACCGTTACATTAGGATGCTTATCTTAATTCCAAAAAAACGAGAAATCTCCTTTAAAAACTATGAAACGAAGTTCTAACAGCACTAAAGCTAAACGGCTCACTAATACCCAACTTAGAAATTAAGGTCACAAAACATTCAGAATGTTATCTCGTTTAGAAAACTTGTTCACTAAAAGTAAAGTCCATTTTGTAAATGAGTCGTCCTGAAAGTCTCCTTTCAAGAATACACTCTTCCCCAAGAAGAAAAAGAACCGGTCTCAAGACAAAAAAGGTGTCTCTACAATTACTATTTATGCAATCGAACTACAACTGAAATCTTCAAACAATTCATTTCATTTCGGAGGGACACAGGAGAATTTAAAAAAACGAGAAAATGTGGGAGGACAGATGGAAGATGGAAGAGGAAGAAAAGGCTTGTTATCGAAATCAAAAAAAGGAGTGTTTTAACCTTGAAGGAATAAAAAAAACGGGCCGTTAAGGCGCAAAAGACACGGGGACTTGTTACGAGAGATGGCGAGCGGGTCGTCAAGTTTCATTTTGGCAGATAGTGTTGAAAAAAGAAGAAGATCACAAAGATGGCAACACCAATTGACTTGAATGACCTGAACATTCGGAGGGCGAATACTTGGGTCAAAATGAAGCAGTCGCTCTTCTCGGCTATGACCCCGGGACAGATTCTGAAATTTCAAAATTCTGAAGCTTTTGTTAAGTTTTCTATACTTTTGTAAGGGCGGAATATCTCAGGAAGTTTTCTGTGTGGTAGAATTCAATAAATTTCTCAAATTATTTCAAAAAACCAGCTACCCGGTGCGGAAGAACTTTTTTCAACCCGGCGCGGAATTTGATAAGTATGGATGGGAGGGTGGAATAGGATTATGACGTTGAAACTCGGAGTATCCTGAAAAACAAAAATGACGAAAAATGAACATGTAAAACAAATTGATAACTTGATTTTCTGATACCGCATCCTCCTTTCTATATCGAAGAATTCAGAGCACAACCTAAGCTTGACGTTTCTCATAAATTCTTCTAGTATTTTACAGAAACACAGTTTCGAGCTCCTTATTTTCTCATCATGAATCCTGTAATGAATGAACATCAGGAACTTTGTTACTTTTCATTATTCAAAAACTTTTTTACTCACCGTCAACCCTGTAATAGAAAGACCCTCAAGCTGTCAAGTGTGAGCTTAACTATCTGATAAAAAAAGTCTGAAGATGTTATCAGTTGAAAGCTTTTTTATATTTTTAATAGGAACCGAGGAAAATTGGCTCAAAGTTGAAATTCAGAGGGCCCTTCTATTACAGGTTTCACGCTCATGGTTGTTTCTGACAAATAAAGTTAAAAGTATGAATTCGTTTTGCTGTTTGAATTTCTAATTTCTTCTGAAAAGTGCTTGAAAAATATAATCACAGTGCTTCTATCACTGGATTCACGATATACTATCTTTTTTAAGTCCAGCTTCTTCTATAAACATTGGCCACTAATCAAACAGTCCGTTGGTTTTATCAATGTACTGAAAAAGTGTATTAGCTCATTATGTTATGAATGGAATTCAATCTGAAACGATATTTGTTTTCAGTGTCTCCAAATGCTATATAATAGTTCCTGTTTGAGAGCAATTTCAGATTCCCTAGTATACTTTTTCTTCTATATCTCCCTTTTTCAAATGTTTGTCTGTTGAAAGTGTAAGTGATGCTGATGGTGAAGCGATAAGATGAACTGCAGAAACAAACCAGTTCGTTCAAGTTCTCGAAACCAACACATCTTCTGATTTCCTCTCATGAATCAAAAGATTGCTCCACGAAACAGAGTATGCAATCTCTTACGTCATTCTCAGCCATTTTGTGATACATCCGAATTGATGAGTAATTTAAACAACAGTCAACAACCGCACATGGTGGAAGGCTTATCAGAAAAAAGAGGGAGAGAAAAGTGAAGAAAAAAGAAGATGGAGTAAGAATAGGAGGAAGAGAAAGCCATACAGAATATACAGTGCAACGTCAAAGGAGAGTTTCAGTCTCGTGTTTTTTAGGTGCTCTGCAAACTATTTCTTCACAATTTCTAATTCGTTTTTTATTGATCTAAATGGGTCACAAGCACTCGCATCCGGAGAATTATAATAAGAAAGAAGGTAATAACAACAAACACAGAGCTGCTTTCTATGTTGACAATGATGATCCGATTTTCCAACCAAACTTTGGGATGACCGGTAAGTTTTTCAGCAATAACATAAATATTTAACATCAATTTTTATATGATTGCAAGCAATTTTCCTGGATCATCACACCATTAGAATAACTTACGAATTACCTCTTAACATTAGTTGTTTGCCAAGTGACAACTAATGGTATACCAAAAGAACAATTATTGTCATTCACCTACTTCACGTCATTATGTGTTCTCTAACTTCTTGACAAAAATCAGTTTTTCATATTTTACCAGCCTGTTTGCCGCGCCTCCGGCGCTTCAAACAGCTAGAATTAACCTTTTTCTTTTACTGTTCGTCGCTTCGCGACTCACTCTTTTTAAAGGTCATGTGAATCTATATTTTATTTTCTAGCTTTTCAAAAATTTGCGGACAGAGCCACAGATAAAGAGAGACAACTTCATTTATTTATTATAAGAATGATAGTTTTGGATGTTATCAAAAGTGGCACATTTTCTAATGATGGCCTGAATAGAAAAAAATGAAAAATATACATAAACCTGTATTAGAAAGGCATGGGAATCGAGATATTTAAACTCAAACTTGACAGTATGTGGGCTCTTCCATTACAGGTTTTACAGTAGGGTATTTGGGCTTGGAATGATATTGCTTAAGCAAACTCGAGATTTTCAGCTCGCCCCAAAATGCCTCCATCGGCGCCACCAATCGCCGTTCCTGATAAACCTCCACCTCCTCGATCTTCTGCACCACCGCAACCCAATTTTGATAATCGTCCACCGATTCCACCGAGAAGATCAGATTCTACTTTATTGCCTCCTCCTGTTCCCTCACATAACTCTTCAAAAACATCTAGTAAGACACGGAAAAAGCTTTTGCTACAAATAATTCCATTCAGATGGCTTCTCTCGTCATCCATCAGCCACATCAACAAAAAGTGTTCCGAATGTGCCATGTACACCTCGGGCCATTTCAAAGTCCAATTCGCATAGTGGATCAGTACATTGCATGCATGGAGGTGGGAAAATAGATACGTAATGTTTGAATAAAGTGAAAAAAATGTTATTCTCTAGCTCCTGATGATAAACTTCTGGTAGTGGAAAGTCGGTTCCTTGCTCAAACTCCACAAGAGATAAGTGTTGAAGAAGGGGATTTGCTGTATCTTTTATCTCAAAGCAACAGGTCAGACACACTTCAAACGATAACTTAAAAAACTTGCTAAATATTCCATATACCGTAAACACTCTAAAATAACTTCGCCCTCAACCTTGAGCCAATTTTTCTCGGTTCATGTCAAAGGTATCAAAAAGGGGTCAACTTGCAAAATGTTCATCATGATTTGAAAAACGTTTCACAACTTTTTGATATCTTTCACAGAAACCGAGATAAATCCGGTCGAAAGTTTGAGTGGCGCTCTATTAGAGTATGCAAGCACAGGCGGGGTTACCGAAAAGCGTACAAACGGCGGCTGAAATGTTAAGAATTGGCTATAATCGGGAGAAAAATTGTAGTTAATAGTAAGACAATTATTGATAATCTGGCCATTATGGAAAAAAAAACCATATTACAGCTCAAAATGTTTTTTAAAAACTAAAAATTCACAAAATCGGAAAAAAGATATTTCTCTCACATTTTCATCAGAAATCATAGATTTTTTTCATTAAGGTCAAATTACTTATTATTGCCTTTTAAATTTTTTGTCCCAAATGTTTTCTCATTTGCTAAGAGATCCAAGTTATAGCCAACTCTTAAACTTCCAGCTGCCGTTCGTACGCTTTTCGGCAACCCCGCCTTACTGTGGCTGTATGACTGTAGAAGAACGCCCCAAACAAGCATTTTCCAAAAAATATCGTACACAAGTTTTAGGTTGTTTGCAAGTCAGTCAGTTATTCCAAAATAGTAGATTCATAATTGTTTTCTCGAAAAAAAATTCGTTCAACATTTTTTCAATTTCTTTTGAATTGAAACCTTACCATTTGATAACTATTCTTTCCTGGCCTTTGTCTATAGAAAATATATTTTTTTTATTTGAAAGTAGAGATTATCTTAACGTATTTGGAACTGTGTTTCAGAAATCCAAGTTTTCAACAGAGACAATTTTCAAATTTTTAGTGAATGGTGGTATGTGTCAAGTAAAACACGACAGTTCAAAGGATTCGTTCCAAAGTCCCATGTCGTTTTTGCTGAAGTTCGAGAGCCCTGGTTCGCTGGAAACATTTCGTCAATAACCGCCGAACAGAGAGTAATGCAGCCAGGACTTCCGATTGGAACTTTTTTGATTCGAGAAAACATTAAAACAGGAACATTTGTGCTGACAGTTAGAAGTTCCAGTGAGTTCAAAGCTTCTTTCAAAGATTCATTTTTCAATTCAGACCACGACTCACCCAGAGCTTATGTCATTCATCGAAGACCCAACAATGATGGATTCGATATTCGAGATAGGCATGATCAAGTTGTGATCACTTTTGGATCTCTATTACAGTTGGTCAATCATTTTAGTTGTGAGTTTTATAAAAAATTCTCCGGAAAAAACGTATTCCGTATTCAATTTCTTGAAGAAGTTTTTCGGATACGTCTTTTATAAATTGAAGTGTTGCTTCAGGTGAGAAAGTACCAGGAGAAGTACAAATTTGCACAAGACTAACAAAAGCAGCTCCTCCATTGACGGAGACAACTGAATACGTTACGATGAGGAAATGGCAAGTTAATAGGAGTGAAGTGAAAAGAGTTCAGGAGATTGGACGAGGCCAGTTTGGAGAGGTTGGTTCTTTATTTGGAAAAACAGGGGAAAGTTGGAGAATGAAGCATTATCCTGAACTCATCAAAAAAGAAACACAGTACCTGACAAAAATTTCGCTTTTCAATAGTATTAGAGAAAAAAATCTCAGTTTATCAACATGCGAAAACAGTTTAGTGGCATATCAGGCAATAGAAAAAATAAGAAGCCAAAAATAGAAGCTTGATTTGATATTGGAAATTTTTAAAATCAATTCCCAAAAACCGCATTTCCTCTTTCCTCTTGTAGAAGCCCACCCAAACCGTTAACTTTGAGCTAAATTATCTCATTTCCTGTTAAAGATATAAAAAGTGGTCAACTAAAAAAATGTTCATTATAATATCAAAACATTTTTTTCAATTTACCACTTTTCAATATCTTTTACAGGGGCCGAGATAATTGAGCTCAAATTTAATGGTTCGGGTGGTCTTCTATTGAAGGGAATGAGGGTATGATATCTATCTTGGATATCAATAAATTGCATTTCAATATCTTTTTATATACCTTCTAAAAAGTGTTAGAAGTACCCTTCTAATTGAAGTACCTAATGATTTCCAATCAATTTCATATAGCCTCATTTCAATAGCTTCAAACCGGTGATTTATAAAGAAAAGCCTACCTGCATTCCAAAATACAAAACATAATTTATTTTTAATTCACACATCTGCTGAATCTTTTTCAGGTGTATCTGGCAAAATGGAGAGGTGTTGACGTTGCTGTGAAATCTCTGAAACCGAATCACACAGAGCAATTAGCCAATAATCAATTCCTGGAGTATGTCTAGAAAGTATTACTTCTCACTAAATATATAATTTTACAGAGAAGCAAAAACATTGACAAAACTTGCTCATCAAAACGTAATTTGTCTTTTGGCCGTTTGCGCAACAGACAAGCCGTTCTTAATAATAACAGAATTCATGAAAAACGGTTCATTACTGTCGTGGCTGCAATCACTTGCTAAAAAGCTGCAGCCATATCCATTGATGAGTGAAGAGACCTCAATAAAGAATGTTTTAGTTGGAGCAAGTATTTCTGCACAGGTAAACCTTTTTTCTTAGCGAAAAAAATTTGTGAATTGATAAAAGATGCATCATAATAACACCAAAATTCTATCAGTTGACAAAATAATTGAGCTCAAAGTTGTCAATTGGGATGGGCACATAATTCGGAGGGTACAACAATTCGGGGATACAAAAAATTTGGATTTTTCAGTTATTTCGTCCCCCCGAATCGAGGATTTTGTACCTCAAAATTAGCTTTGTACCCCAATGACCCCAAAATTTATGTACCCTCATAATTATTTGCCATTGGGGATGGATTCTACTAGAGGAAGAAAATAAAAAATGAAAACTTTGTCAGGTGGCATCTGGCATGGACTACCTTGCTGCAAATCAAATTGTCCATCGCGATTTAGCAGCCCGGAATGTTCTTGTCGGAGAAGTATCCTCGAATGGAGTTCCACGTGTCAAGGTGGCTGATTTTGGACTGGCCCGAAAGTTCGACATTGGTGATGAAAACTATGTTATGAAGACGGATAATCTACTACCTTGGAAGTGGATGGCACCAGAATCATTCGATGAACAAATTTTCAAGTAAGCATATGAACATCCCTCTGATTCAAGACATTCCATTTTCAGTACAAAAACAGATGTGTGGTCCTACGGAATTCTTCTCTGGGAAATTGGAACACTCGGAAAAACACCATATCGTGGATGGGATTCAGAAGGAACTCTGGAACATTTGGCAAACGGATACGTTCTCCCAAAACCCGACCTTGTTCCCGACTACGTTTACGAAGATGCATTCAAAATGTGTGTTCATTTGAACCCACAAAACAGGCCGACGTTCGATCGGCTCTTTAAGTACTTTGATGATATCAATTTTGACAGCCTCACCGTTAGGAGAAGCACCTCTCGGCATTAAATCGTACTTAATTTGTTTTGAATGTGTTATTCCAAAATACAAATCCGCTTTAAAAATTCGTATGGTTAAATAAAGAAAGAAAAAACAAATTATTAAGCGAACTCAGTTAATTACAACTATATTACGAATGAGATGCCAATGAATGATTTATCCAGTGTAATCCGCATGATCAAACAGAATCTGATCATATGCTTCTGCTTTCACGGTGTTTCCTCCGAAGAATCGTCCATCGAGAGCTGCTTTGGCCCGATCCACTTGCATTGAGTCAGCGTACTTCACGAAAATCTTGACAGTACCGCTGGCGGCGAAATTGGCAATAACAACATCGATGACGTTTCCGTACTTCCCACACTCTTCACGAATTTCTTCCTCGAGGTACTCATCAATATCAGATGGTGTGACCATATTCCGTAAAACAATGACGTTCGAACGGTTCGTACGCATCAGTTTGGTCATGAGAAGATGGCGAGCATCGTTTCCTCGAATCTCGAGACCTTCTTGTGATGCAAGGGAAGCATCTTCACTGTTCATCACTTCGTTCTTCAACGCATCTGACATCTCTCCCGCTTTCGCTGCTGCTGCTAACGCTTGAGCAGTGTTGAGCTAAATATATAGTTTTAAACGACATTCAAGTTAATGGCTCCGGGACATTTCGCAAGCGAACATTTCGAAAGAGCGACAATTCGAAAGTAAGACATTACTGAAAGTGGAAGTTTCGAAAGCAGTCATTTCGAAACCGTGGTAATACAGACGAATGATTTTTCAGACTACAAAAACGAATTTCAGACTACAAAAACAATTTGAAGGTTTTCAAATATGTTTTTCCTGATAAAACTCAATATGAAAGCCGTAAAATTGAAAATTTAATTTTTGAATTAAATTATTTTGGAATCTTCCGAGATGTCTGCTATCGAAACGTCGCCTTTCAAAATAGCTCACTTTCGAACTGTCGCGCTTTCGAAATTTCCGCTTGCGAAATGTCCCGGAGCTAAATTAATGGAGTATCCGAATAGGCTCAAAAGTTTGGCAATAAGATTTACGAGCTTCTTTTTTATCAAATAATGGAACAAACACAAAAAAAGAAATACCTTCGGTTGAATCTTCTTTCCTTCTTTGACTTTTTTCTTCTTCTTCGGCTCTAAACCTAGCGCAGCAGCTGCTTCTTTTGCTTTTGCACTATTGGATAACATCAAAGAAGATCCACCATCCATCAATGCAAGAGCCATACTCGCTACGTTGTCGCCACCACGACCAGGACCCATGATAGCCAACATTTTTCCGTCTTCCGTAGTCTGTTCTTCATTTGTTGGATCCTTCCATGCTACATGCTCATCCAATGCACCAAATGTCACAGGATCTTCCATTCTCTGATTCTGGACTGCTTTCTGTTGACTTAACACTTGGGACATCTTCTCTTCAAAGGTCATTTGGTTCAGCTTCTCTCGCTTCATTTTCTTCCTTTGCGAAGTTGAAAGTTTCACTCGGCTAGTTGCTGCAGAACTTCCAGGCCCTGATTCTTCTTCCTCAATGCTTGGATCCGCCTTTGGCACACTTGTTTCCAACTTTGGTGCCGCAAAAGATGGTGTTGGAACAATTATTCCGATTCCAGGCGGAGCTACCAATCCTGGTGAGGGAACAATAGCATTTTGCAGAACAGGTGTTGGTAGTATCGGTTTCGGTTCTTCTTCTGGAGTCATTTCATCTTCTTCATCATCTATGTCCATTGGCTCTTCTTTGACACAATCGTCCACTTGAGGAGGCGGAGGTGGTATGTCTTCAGCGTTTGGCGTAGCCTGAAAGCAGCATCCCAGATATTTTGTTCTAATGATTTAAACTTACATCATCTATATGTTGTGGTGAACTGATAACTGCCTTGGTTTCAATATCCGATGGAAGGGAGGATGATGGTGTGAGGGGTGATTGAGCTTGTTTAGGGGAAGGACTAGCAGCACGGGAATTAGATTCAGAGTTTGGTTTCTGAAATGAAAAACGATTTAGTCAATAGATTGGATTGTGATATTTGTTGATATATTGAGTCTGCTGTGAGATTGTGAATTCGCCGAAGTTTACTGTGAATAAAACTAATTTATTGCAGATTTGATGAAATCAGATGTCAGACTTTATCAAAAAACAGTTGTTCTGAATTTATTGTCATTTCATCTACTTTTGTAAGCACAAACTTCCCAAATGAAAAGTTTATTATAAATATTACACAGTAGAATAGAATATAGAGCTGACGAAAACTCTGCGATAATAAAGAAAACACAAGTTTCATCTCGGCGACTTGGGGAAGAGCATAGCACCTACCGGCGAAGAACCGGCTGCCGCGGCCTCTGCAGCCATGACTTTTGCGGTGATTGCTGCACATGCAACGGAGACACTAGCTGGAATCGCGGTGACTGCAGCTGGTTGAAGATACGACAGAGCATCGGGAGGAGTGACGCACTTTCCGACCTGAAAATGATTTTTATTTGAAAAACGTGTGAATCCCTGATGTGATTGTTTGAAAAATTGACTCACTCTCAAATACTGTCCTCCAAGATCGAACATGTTCATACCAGCGATGGCTTCGTTCTGCGAGTTCATGTTGTTGAATTCAATATATCCGAAACCACGGTGACCACGACCGGTAGGGGTACGAGCGAGCTGACATTTTATGATTTGGCCAAAAGCCTCGAAAACTCCAGCCAATTCGGATTCTGATAAATCTGGATGAACAGAGGCCACATAGACTCTAAAAAATAAGGAAATATTGAATGACAAATCGGATTTTTTCTCACCTGAAATATTTCTTTGCGTCTTTCTGTACCATGTCGATGATTGGTTGAGCCTGTGGCATGTTTTGCGGTAGTCTCATCTCTTGGAACATCATCGAGTTGACTTTAAGGTTACGTCCGCCGAGCATTTGACCATTCATTGATTCTTGAGCAAGTAGAGCAGCTTCTGGAATCTCGTACTCGACAAATGCGAATGTTTTGTGATGCTGAAAAAATCTATTGAAGAATTGATGAGAATGTTTAACCTACTCCAGTGGCAGGATCCCAGCTCATGTTGATTGATTTGATCGGGCCAAACGGGTCGAATGCCTTTCGAAGCATATCTTCACGAATCTCAAAGGAAATGGATCCTACATAAATTCTGGACATGATTGAGAGAGCTTGGGCATACATCTGCTGTTTTTGTTGCTGTAAATGAATATTTTACTTGAACTGTCTGTGAAAAATCGCTTACATTTTCCTGCTGCTGCTTCTGCTGTCGGAGAAGAATTTGTTTGATGGAAATATCCATAGCATACTTTCTCGCCATTTGAATGTCGTCTTTTCTTTTCGAGCTCAGTTTTGACAACCCTAATCCGATTTTTTGTGCATCTTTCTTACCTCCCGGACCAACAAAAACCTGTAAAATGTCGTTTGAAAATAGCTTTGTACTCTTTTTTATTTACCTCTCCATCCTGTGGCAAAACTGGCATTGGAATCGACATCGCTGATTTGAAAGCCACAACTGGTTTGTTCTCAATATCTCCAGAGTTTTCTTCCATGCTGGTGAGCGCCTGAAAAGTATAGAAATAGAAAAAAGATTAAATTGGGAAGAGTTTTCCGAATTTCGAAAATATTGTCAAGTGAGTGTGCGCGCTCTATCGTGAGGGTGGCAAAATCGATCGAGAGAAAAAAAACGACCATGGTTGCGCAGAGCGCAGATGCTAATTCACATTGCAAAAAGTAGAGTTCTCATAAAATTACGGGGAGAAGCGAAAGGAGTTTTTATCAGCTAATCTCAAACACATTAAAATAATACACTTTATTAAACAATCCCTCTGGGAAGAAAATTTTTTCTTCAAGTTATTTATATACGTTCGTTGGAGGTTCGTATAGTACGATTGTTTCGTAAACTCGAGCTGCCGACTCTTCAGAAGAACGAAATTTCGAAATTACGCTCATTTTGAAATTATCGAGAATATGTGAAAACAAGTTCTGACCGTTATTGTGCAGGCCGCAAGTTAGTTCTGATAAACTCCGTCATTTTTTCAGCTTGCGCGCGTTCTTAGTTTCAGAAAAAAAATTTTAAAATTGATTTTAAAATTCCAAAGTTTCTGAATTTTTTTGAAATCAGTTCTGACCTACAGTATGTCAAAGGCGCACACGAAAATTTCTGTTGCGGGTTTCGAGCGGAATTATTTACGATCCCTGTTTCACTAATTTTTGCTTTTGTGATTTAAAAGTGGCTTTTAAAATTTGAATTTAAGAAAAGAAACTTCGAAATCTTGAGACTCGGAATTATCGAAACTCTGAAAAATTCCGAAAGAGCCGTTCCGAATATTCCTGATCATGCTTTTTCTATCTCAACAAATCGTAACAAAATATCCTAATACGCAATAAAATGTTTTTTTCAGAAGTGCGGAGTCAGACGTCGGACGGTGTCTTCACCACCCACAAAAAATGTCTGGAAAACGGGCATCCTATATGGATTGGCTCGTCAAATATGGACGGAGAGAGTAATTCAAGAATGTTCCGAAAACTTAAATAATTCGATATGGTTTTCAGATTTCGTGTGAAAAACGGAAGACCTTACGATGACACAGATGCAAGAGATAAAGACATTATGACGGTATATTGGAGAGCATTCAAGGTAACTTATTCCTTAATCGTTTTCCTAACATAGAAAATAATTTTTTTTCGCATGAATCGGTTGAAAAATGTCGCGAATAACCCCATTAAACTATTCCGGGAGTAAAGAAAAAGTTTTAAATCTTAGTGTTGTAGGCATCAATTGATCCTGAAGAAGCTCGAATTCGAGAAGAGATGGAAAGACAAGTCAGGGCGCACAATAGCAACATTCAATTGGTTCTGGTATGTTAGACAATGGTTGCTGCTTAAACGATTTTTGTTTCTAGAAAGAAAAAGCAAGGAAGCTCAAACTCAAACGACAGAAGATGCATCAAAACCCAACGGTGACAAACGGTCAACAAAACGAAGATCCTGGACCAAGTCAACCAACGAATTGGAGTGTTAACCTCCCTCCTACAAGAATCGACGAAGTTATTACGGATGAAGATTTAGAGCAGTTTTGTTCAAAAAAGAAGGATCAAGCTAAGCTTGGACTATCTACCAATTTTCAATTTCGTTCCGGAAACGGAATTTGCAGTCCAGAACACAATTTCCACGTTATATCCGTTTTTCCGATAGTCTATCTGTACAAGTATAACATAAATAGATTGCTGTGTTATCCTGCTGAAATCGCCATCACGACATTCAATATGAAGGAGGGAATCATCTACAGCGACTCTAAATTCGTGGAGTTCGACGAGCGATGGGCATTCGGACAAGACGAACGCGATCACCGAACAATGTCTGAAAGGGTGAACGAAAATGAGGATTTAGATGAGTTGATGCATCAATTGAGTAAGACATATTTCCACAGTTATATTATTTTTATTATAAATAATCTCAGGTAGTACCATTGGGATTGATCATCTATCGACTGATCATAATCCAGAATCCCCGTTCGGTGTGTTCGAATGGCTGAGAAGTCGCATCGATATATATCCTTATGCGAAAATACTCGTTGACATGAATCAATTTCGATTTGTCTATAATGGCTTGAAGAACATTGCCAAGTATCACGGTTTCACGGGACAAACCTACTTCAACGAAAACATAAAATTTAATATGGTATCTATTCAAGACTTCACAGACGTTCTTTTGGACTATTGTTCCTTACTGGTTGCGAGAAGATGGAGCGACCAAGATATTAACAATCAGTACCTCCGCCCTAATCTCGTTCCTAATAGGGACAAAAATACAATTTGCGAGTACCACGAAACGGTTCCATGTCCAACAAGATACAACTGTATGAAAGCTCACAACTCCAGATTAGTGTAATATGAACAGTAAGAAGCGACCTAATTATTCTTTATTTTCCAGTCATCACTTTTTCACCATTATGAAGGCGCATCGTCTTCAAAATTTCCGCTACTCCCCTCCAGTACACGAACCATGCATCGAAGATATGTCTGGCTCAAATTTGCCCGAGATGTAAGTTATTGAGAAGCTCCTGTTATGGGAAAACACTTAAAAATTGATTGGTTTTATTAGACAAACATTATTAAACGAATTTCGCAAATCGTGATGTTTGCAGGATATCAGAGCCTTCGATCACCTTGGATCATCTTCACCAATTGAGAGGATCCAGTGGTACGAATGGATTCGGAAATGAGGCATTTTCAAGAGTCGTACTTTCTTATGCCGATTTCGAGGAAGAAGACGAAGAAGAAGATGATGACGACGATGAAGATGAAGAAGATGATGTGGATCCTGGGCTACAGAACTCCAATATATTCTTGAGCTCTTCCCATTACGACAACGACGAATCACAACGAAATCATGATACTTTCATGAGAAACCATTCGACGGAGAGATCAGATAGAACTCGTGGCTACCACGTTCACCACATGGTCGATGAACAATCAAGAAGTAACGCGCAAAACTACGGAAATGGTCCAATCCACTACGAAGACAATAGACAAGCAGATCGTGAAATAAGATTTGGAAACGAGTTTAGAATGCCCCAAAACGGAAACGCTTCGAGCTATGCTCATCAAAACGCTGCTCACCAAAACATCGCAATGCCTACGAATCTGGCAAACAGAAATGGAAACCTAGAAAGAGAAGAACCACAGCAACAGTTTTCACAACGTTATTCAGAGGCGCCAGTTTAGTAAGTTGGAGTAAACTGTGTTCCCAAACAATGATATTGTTTTCAGCCATTTTGCGGATCCATCTCCGGGTGAATTTGAAGTTCCCACTCTGGGTAGACCATTGGATGGAGAACAATGTTCAAAATATATGAAGATTGCATCGAAGAACTCTCATAAGGCATTCGCAAAGTGGGTTAATATTAAATATTATGTGAAATTATGATGTTATTTCCAGAATTCTCCTTCTCTGAACAACATTTCCGCAAAAAGTATCATTCGACTGTGCGATATTGTGAAAATTACATGTTTTTAAGATGTACTCCTGCAGAATCCTGTGCAATATTTTCTTGTCACTTTTTTTGTACCATATTAGTATTTGAATTCTAATAAATTTCATTCACATAGTTAGATCTCCAATAGCAACGTAAAAAAGAATTCATCGTGGATGCATGATGCCACGTCCACCATCCACCTTCAGAAGTTGTCCTGTTGTGAATGAACTCTTTTCTGAAGCTAGGAAAAGTATAGCTTCAGCGGCTTCTGTAGTTGTTCCTGGACGACCAAGTGCATGTGTCGTTTTGCTCTTCTCGAGGAACTAAAAAATTCAATTGTTTTTCTTATACAGCCTTTACATACAGCAGCATATGTCGCTTCGTCCTGACCAGAAGTGCGATGAATGTTGGTCACGATAACTCCCGGGCTGAAAATGGGGTGTTAAAGTCAATAAACTCCAGTTAACCCTTACCATACTGCATTCACTCTCACACCATTTGGTGCCATTTCCAGAGCTAAGCATTTCGTGAATTGATCCACAGCTGATTTCGTCATGCAATAGTAGGTCACACCAGCAAACTGAAGGTGTCATATTTTAAAATTTCAAAAATATGAGAGTTGGCATACCGGACATGGACCATTGATGCTGCTTACATTGACAACAGTCCCTTTGGTATTGATGATATGGGGAAGGGCGGCACGAGTCAGTCTGACCAAGCTACGGACATTCACATTCATCAGCTCGTCGTACACTTCAATTCCCGATTCGAGCACGGGACCGGCACGCAGGATTCCAGCAGAATTGATCTAAAAATTTCGGAATATAACTTTTGTGACAAAACAATGGTTACCAGAGAATCAATTCTACCAAATTTCTGAATGGTTAAGTCAACGATCATTTTTGGCGCTTCTTCAGAACTCAACTCCACGGCCGTTATGAGTATCTGCAAACATTATCCATTCTATTTAAAACTGTCATTGCATCTTTACATCATTGATGTCGAGGCCCCCTTCTGAAACACAGAGAGCTGCCACCTCTTTCAAAGCATCGGTATTTCGTCCAGTAAGAGAAAGTTTGTAATTATTCTTGGCGAACAGGAGAGCAGTACCTTTGCCGATTCCCGAACTGGCGCCGGTGATAATTGCAACGGGCATGATAGAAAACTGAAAACTTTAGTACTTATTGAAAAAAGTGGAATAAAAATAAATAGATGATATCGAATCGAGCCATTGAGCTACAAGAATATAAACCGATTTAAACTTTATACTTTAACAATTCTTCATGATATTATCGAGAGATTGACTAGAAATTTTAACAAAAATCTTTTTAGCAGTTCAACGTGGATGCATAATTCCTCTTCCACCATCAACACGAAGAAGTTCTCCAGTTGTGAAAGAGCTTTTCTCAGATGCAAGGAAGAAAATCGCTTCGGCAACTTCGTTGGCTTCGCCTGGACGGCCGAGAGCGTGTGTCGTTTTGCTGCGTTCTAAGAACTGAAAAGGAAAACAGAGAGAATTCTTTTCAAGGTCAAACAAGCAATTTACCGCGGAATAGGTCGTCTCATCTTGGCCTGATGTACGATGAAGATTGGTCACTGTTACTCCCGGACTAAAAAATGTGTAATGGTTTGGAATTTGATGAAATTACTAACCAAACCGCATTTACACGGACCCCATTTGGAGCCATTTCTAGAGCCAAACACTTGGTGAATTGATCTACTGCAGACTTGGACATACAGTAATACGTCACATTAGGGAACTGAAACAAACGATTGGTTGTTCAGCATAGCTATGAAATTGATACCGGACATGGACCATTGATGCTGCTTACATTGACAACAGTCCCTTTGGTATTGATGATATGGGGGAGGGCGGCACGAGTCAGTCTGACCAAGCTACGGACATTCACATTCATCAGCTCGTCGTACACTTCAATTCCTGATTCGAGCACTGGACCGGCACGCAGGATTCCTGCAGAGTTAATCTGAATTTCTACATGACACGTCCTCTTAATATTTGAACACATCCTTACCAGACTGTCGATCCTACCAAACTTCTGAACAGTCGCATCGATGATCGTCTTTGGAGCTTCCTCGGAAGACAACTCAACAGGAGTCACTAACACATCGTTTTTATCTCCTCCAGCGCTAGCAATTAATCCAGCAAGCTCGTTCAAAGCTTTCACATTACGTCCTGTTAGCGAAACTTTGTAATTATTTCTGGCCAAGAGTAGAGCTGTTGCCTTGCCAATACCAGAACTGGCACCTAAAAGCTATCCTGATAACAACAATCTAATAGTACGCAATCTTAACAAACCAGTAATAATGGCGACCGGCATTTCGAGGTACAAATAGACTCCTGCTGAAAAATTGCAGTTTTTAGTTTGCGATTTTGGATGATGAAGAACTATAGAACACTATTCAGATCCTCACCAACGAAAAAAGAATTGAGATATTTAAATGAATACTGGATGAAACCTTGAATGCACGAATTTTCGTTTTTGCCTGAATCAATAATAATCAGAATCACCCTTATCGTTTCAATTTTTATCTTTTTTTTTCTCAATACGGAAGCAAATCAATCATTTGAAAGGAAGGAATTGCGCTGTTGAACAATGGGCGGAGTGAATGAAAGTTCGCAAAAAAAACCAGTATTAAAGGAGACGGTCAAATGGAAGTGAACTCGATACTGAAGTTAGAATGATCAAGATCGTTGTTCTGATTTCTGTTTTAATCACCACCACACATGGTAAGTGTTCTTTTGTGCTAGAATTGGAAATGGCAATGCTTAAATTACAGGGGGATGTCCTAGCATCTCGTCAATCTATCTTCCTCGTAGAGTGAACTGTCCACTTTGTGATTTCGCGCCTTCCTCTCAAGCTGTATCTGGTTCTGGTAATGTGTATTCTATCAAGTGTCCCTCTGGGTCTGATGTCTGGTATTACAATGAACAAGGAAACGAATTTGTGACTCCAATGAGCAAAGTTGGTTCAAAGGGATCGATAAAATGTGAAGGATCGAAATGGAAGATCAGCGTGCCCGGTCAAACTCAAATTCTATCTGCCTTCGCATGTGGCTCAGCATGAGATATCAGTCATTCCATTTGAAAGAAGTCATATACAATCTAGTCAAGATTTGAATAAATAATTAAAACGATTTCATCTTGCAAATAGGAGAAAGAAATATCACATAAGCATATTACTGAGATTGTGCTAAAGCCAAAAAACCGTATCAAAGCAAAAAGGACTAGAAAAAAAAACATACATAAAAAAGGGGAACTGAAATTCATGACTAGAATCAGATAAAAAGGATGGATGAAAGTTTTATAATATCATACAAATAAAAGTACATTGCAATTAAATTAATTTGAAGAAGCATCGTGCATTTTTGCCATAATGTCAGGGATATCAATTGAAACTGACACATCTTCACTAGAACGCCGGCTATCTCTTCTTTTTGGTGTAGGAGCAATGGAGTCCGCTCGACTCTGGAAAAAAAACTATAAGAATTTGTTATCATGGTTTTCATACCTTTTTGAATTTTTGAATGGTTTTCTTATTGTCAACTATTTGCAAACTTGCAATTACGGAAGAGGCAAGAGTAGCATCTAACGGATCAAGAACGGCTCGCTGAATAACCTTTGGAATTGTGTTTCGGTGGTCGAAGATCTGAAAATTAATATTTTTACGATTATTTATGTGGATAGTTTTAAAACCTGAAGCTTTTTCAAAATATCATCTACGACCGGCGGTGTCCATTTGATTCTATCGATGAATCGAACTTTCGGCTCTACTTTCCAGTCTTGACATATAAAAATTCGAGAGTCCTTGCTCGTTTCCGATCCGATTGATTCTTTACTGGACGACACTGCAGGAGAAGAGTGCGAGGAATGAGAGGAAGATGACGCGCTATGCGATTCCTTGATATAGCTCTTCAGAAGCTCGGGTAAGAATGAGACTTGTGCATTGAAGTTGGTTTCGATAGCGACTTCACTGAAGAATTCGCATATGAATGATGTGAAAACTTTCATTTCTCCTTGGAAAACGGATTCGTATTTATCTCCATCATCTACACCGCACAGTTGTTCCGATGTCATTGTAGCAATAAGACCGGGGAATTGGAATAGTTCCATAACACTGTGATTAGTAGCAGAGCCGATATCTTTGTTCTGAAAAAAGAATACATTTGAAAAACAAAGAATATAGATAAGAGTTACCTTTGCAGACGCTGGAGACCTGAATCTACCGAAGGAACTCAATGTTGAAGGAGACTTCGCAGTATTTTCGTTAGGTGAACTTGGGGATTGTACTGCATCCAGCTGTTTCTTCTTTTTATCCGTAGGATCAGAACCAATACTTTTCATAACATCTCCAATGAAAAAGTTCAATATATCCTCCGTTTTTTGCAAGTGACTGGAATTATTGAACCTTGTTTGAACCCTACAAACATTCGCGCGATTTTCGGTATGATTGTCCTCAGTGGAACCAAGTTGAAGACAGAAAGTTTGTTTAAGAAGAATCCCGATTTTTTGTTGAGCCGATGTACTGTCCAAAAAATCCATTCTTGCTTCGGGATCGAATGAAATCAATGCATCACGAAGATGGAATACTGCCCAGGTGTCCGAATTCATATCTCCTTTCATTAGAACCAAAGATATCCCTTTCGCTTTCAACTCCATGTGACCACCAACTTTAGCTCCCTCTTTCTCCATCAGTCCCATCAATTGCTCATTAATTTGCATTTCAGACATGTAGTCCATCACTTTTTCCCAGAAATGAGTTGTCGGTTTTCTGGTTTCAATCGGAGCTTTTGATTGCTTTTTGAGATTTGTCGTGGTGTTGAAATTGCCCAGAAGAATTCGCGAGTTTTTGAGTTGTTCCTGGAATTGGGAAACTCAGAAAGGATCTCAAATATTTAAAAACTAACGTCGATGAATGAAATGAGACGATGGACAATAGCTGCAACATCATCCACGGTCGACTTGGTGATCACAATTTGAAGATCATCCCATGCAGACTTCACATTCATCCCAAGTCCAATCAGAACATCCTGTAATAGAACATTTGAATAAATACCATTAGAAAGTGTTATAATTCACCAGTTCATTCTCTTTGCCTGACAAATAGAAATCTTCAACTCGAAAACTGGGGCCACTCCATTTTGCAATCAAGACTCTACGACTCATCCATTCCACATTAGCTGTTATCCAGTCGAGTCGAACCTTCAATTTGTTGCTAGGAGGATTTTTGATATCAGCTGTCAGAACATGATGGGCGTCTATTTTCAGACTGTTCAATTTGATGATGCCACTGATTGCTCCATCCTTTGCACATAATTCACTAGATCCGAGGTTGAAATGTACGTTGATGTTTCGTTCATTTAAAGAGTTCAACTTGGAATCTCCCCATAGTTTTCCATCGACAGCTTTCCAAGTTGTCTTTCCCATTGTGTTGGACATGAAAGCAGTGACTTCAAACTCGTTCCATTGAATTGCCGTCAACACCAATGCAGTCCATGGCTTCTTTTGATGAGAAAGCCCACTGCCGGAACCAGTGCTTACTGTGCTTAGTGGTGGGTGGAGAGATTTCGGATCTGTCGGGAATCGAATTCTAGTGGTTCCTGTGATGTCACTGCCGTCATCTTTCTGTCGCGGGGCAGCTTGGTCGCCGAAAAAGACGCGTCTTGCAATAGCTGCGCGGTACCACGGCTTTGGGAATTGTATTAGCTCCCCAAGGCGTCGGAAGTTGTACACAAATGAAGCTTTGCTGATTTGAGAGGAAAGAACGAACTAAAAAAACAACCTTAAATTTTGTAAAGTTCATAGAAACTTACTCGAACTCTATTGTCCGGTTCGGTCGAGGAATTCTTGTTTCTGGAGATAACAAATGAAAGAAGATCCAATGACAACTGAAGAGCTCGTGCAGTATCTCGCTCCGGTTCTAGTGGATTATAAATCTTCAACATAAAACCTTTGAACTGCCCAGAAATGTGAATTCCTCCAACGTAGTTGTCTATGTTATCTTTTGTTCGTTTTGAAGTCAGTTCGAGAGTGAGCCGTGGTAGGGTGAGAAGACAATCAGCTTGTGCTTGGCTTCTAGAAGTCGGTTGTTTACCGTCAAACCGGATTGTTGAACTTTGAACATCCAAGTAGAAAATAAAGTCTATCGGGAAAGCGGCAGTATCCATTGCGACTATATTGTGAACTTCGTTGTTTCCTACAAAAATAATCAGGTTGGCTCTTTTTAGATATATTTCGAAAAGTTACCCTCTCCTTTCCCATCATCTATAACTGATGCTTCTCGAGTGGTATTTTGAGACTGGAATACTGCAGAAGGTGGTAATGGCTCAAGAACTTGTTCCAGGTATGTAGCTAAATGTGGAGTGACAACCGTTTCTTTTGGCATTGAAGCTAGTCCAACGAAAATGTAGAAGCATCCTCGTTTTGGTGAAGGAGAAGTGGAGTTTTCATTGACGCAGCTGTTTCCAAATGCACTCTTGTTATTCAAATCTCTGTACAATTTGTCCGCAACTTTAGATGATTCCCTTGATAGCTTTGTCTTTTTATCCTGCTTGAATTGATCGGGTATACGACTTGAAGGATCCGAGACGTGATAGCATTTGATTTCTACACTTGGAATACAGAAGGTGGTTGTTGTAATAACCTGGGGTTCGAACATTGATTTGAAATCTTTACCTCCTCCCAGATTCAGTCGTTTTAATGGATCTCTGACTCCAGCTGTAACATTATTGTCTGAGCGAGAGAACAACAGCAAATGACTTACGTATAACCATTTGCATTGAACCTTCTTTTTTACCAGTTCTGACTGTGCATGTTCCTCTGTTGATATTCACTTTGACATCCAGGTTAAAATTGACAGTTTCGTTGTCTATCGGTGTCACTTCTTGTGTGTTATCCTCTTTTAACTGATTTCCTGCGGCTGCTGTACGAGCTGACGAATTTCTTCTTGAAGAAGATCCCCTTCGAGTTTGAGGAGGAGGTGTTTCCTGAAAAATTTGAAGAATTGTTTTAACTTCACTTGAACTGCTTCAACTCACCATATGGTTCCTAGCTACATTCGTCCCTTTCCTCAATTTTTCAACCATGTTCCGTCTGAAAGCTTTGAACCGAATGAGTTCATACTGACGTAGTTTGTGCTTCTCAGCTTCAATCAACTTGGTAGATACACCTCGAGCAGCCAGTTCAAACACAGCTCTCGAATGCTCATGCATCTTGTTTTCCATCCAAGGAACTTTTTCTTCCGCTTTCAATTTTTTAAGTTCTGAAGCACCATCTACTTTTTCCTCGTCAGAATCCAGTCCTCCTTGATCTTCCCAAATCGAAATATCATCTTCATCGTCTTTCCCAATCATCGAAAACGTATTCACGAGAAGCTTTGCCTGCTTACCGATCCGAGTGTCCAAATCGATTTCCACTCCTTGCATTTCAGCAAAAATACTGAGCGTCCACTTAGCAGGACCACTGGATGCTTCAGCTTTTGAGCAAAGTTGGTATGTTCCTTCCGGAAAGAAAACACAATTGGACTGATCACTATGAGCAGCATCAAGAAAGCTTTGAGTTAGAGCTTGCTCATCAAAATCGTCTATAAATGAGCATTTGAATCCATTAAACGATGCTTTGCATGTCAGTTCTTTCTTCACTAGTACCGAGAGGTTCGATTTTTGAAGCGATAAGACCAGAGCTGGC